ACGATCGTTTAAATAAATTTTTCCTTCAATAAATCATTCGTTCAGTTAAAAATTAAGTTCGTTTGAAAACAATGTTCGTTCAGAAAATTTTGTTCGCAAGTTCGATTTCAAAGATTTCTAGATAACAGCTGTTAGTTACTTACTTAACGAAATCTAGTATAGTAGTTCCTATGAAGAGCCCGATGAATCCCCCCATAGCGATGATGAAACCATCCACGCCATACGTCAGTACCTCCTACCAAAATAATTTGACATTTGAGGAATTTGAAGATTGTTTATAAATAAACTTTTTGAAGGAACAGAAATTTACTTTTTTTAAGCTCGTGGATGTCAGCAAAAATATTAGTTTCAGCAAATGTTATAGATAGATTATTCTAGTTTTCCCCCAGACCTCTTGGCCTTCTTAATCTTGTTTTCTGTTTATTCTAGTTTTCCCCCAGACCTCTTGGACTTCTTAATCTTGTTTTCTGTTTATTCTAGTTTTCCCCCAGACCCCATGGCCTTCTTAATCTTGTTTTCTGTTTATTCTAGTTTTCCCCCAAACCTCTTGTACTTCTTAATCTTGTTTTCTGTTTATCCTATGAAATGATGGTTTTCGGTTGGTCAGAATTAAAAATGTGTCACCAATTTTTTTTAACTTTTAATGAAAACAAGAAAATCTGCAAATTATTGAAACCCAATTTTATGATTAAAGCATAAATACACTTCACCTTGGTTTCCCTGACTTTTTCAGGCATCCCATTGATAATAAGACCTGTTGTAGCAGCACCCTTCATTACAAATTGGTTGAATTAGAACATTTCAAATGATTAACTCAGGGGCGGATACAGGATTTAAGTGAGGGGGATGCTAGATTTATTTTTAAGATAGATATTTTTCCTGTTTTGCACTAGGTTTTCTTTCCCTTAAGTGCTATTGGGAAGTGGGGCTACGACCCCCCTGAATCCATCAGGGGGGTGCGAAGGTCCTACCGCCCCTCCTGTATCCGCCCCTGGATTTACTGTTTACAATTTTACCGTTTGGGAGTTTTCCATTGGATAGCTTTCTTCAGTCCAACTGCACACAGGCATACACTGTTTATACAATATTATAAAATGATCAAACAGTTATGTTAGATTATATGCTTTGTCGGTCAAATGTATAAAAATTGTTAAATTCGACAGCTGGTCTTTCGGGTGTGTAAAATTCAAGAATCATATAATTCCTAAAAAGCTAGAGCTATTAAAAAGAACAAATTGTTTAAACTACTGAATGAATTAAGTCTTTGCCACAGTGTCAAATTTTGTAATCCCTATACGTAAACCTTGGATATTTCAAACCTATAATATTTGATCTAACATATTTCATAGTTTGAAATATCTAAAGTCTATGAATTTGGGTTGAATAGATATAGCCTTGCAAGAGTAGTGCAAACCCCGGAAATCGGCACTGGTTTATAGAAGACGACATTCATATTATTACTTAATCTTTTAAATTGTATTTTACTATTATTCAACCTAAAAAAATGTGTAACTGTGTAACGATGTGGAACTGTTAACCATGTACAAGTGAACTCTTATTTATATATTTCATAATTATTCCTTGTTGAAAATCTGGACTTCAGATACATATACAAGTTATTTACTTTAGTGGTTAGTCACTTGAACTAACGTCATCGGAACTATCAATAATTTCACTATTGTTCATGTTGACATGTTTTGATTGAGTTTTTCTTTCTAGTTTTTGGTCTCATTTTAAAATTATAATGTTTCACTATTTGCATTTTAAAAGTATAAAACTGCCAGTTTTTAGTTTCCATACTGCAGGCGTACTTCACACTTGATGTGTGCTATTTAACCTTTTGGAACATCTTTTGATAGAACAAATATTTCTTGAAAATTATTCAATTTTCTCTAAATCAATTCTCTGACAGCCTGTTAACTGTCCTGTGTTCCGAGTTCATTTCAGCATAAGCTTTACTTTACATTCCAGAGTTTATTTCAGCATAAACTTTTTAAAAAGAAGAAATTGCAACGGATATATCCAGGGATCTAACAGTATTATTGTGATGTACTGCGTATAATTTGTGAACATTTACATAAATTGTAAAACTCATTTTCAGGCTCAGAGGGTCTGAACATATATTCATACCGAGGGATAGTCTTATATCCCTTCTATTTTAATCTCTGCTCTGTGTTAATTAAACATTTTTTAAAATAGGTAAGGGCCAGCTACTATGACCTAAGCGGTCAGGCAAAGACGATAATGCGAATGTAAATATTATTGTCTAATTTTATAATTTTTACTTAAATATTCTACATTTATTTTTAAAGTTTACAGATAAATCATGGTTAAGTACTTACATCTTCTTTAGATATGCATTTGTTTTGAAGGCCAAATCTACCATTAAGAAGATTATTATTCCAAATCGTGATGCTGTCATTCTATGGAAGAAATTCTTTTAAACGGTTAGAATTGCCCTATAATTTTGAGGTTGTTTTTGATTCTTATTCTTAGTTTAGATAACTAAGTTTTGTTAAGAAGTTTAAGGAACTGAGGCCGAATTAAAAAAAATTTAGCCGCGGCTCAAATTTTGTTGGTTCCACTTAAATTTGTATTAAATTTTTCAAGATTTAAGCCGGCGCTCAATTGAAACCGGTTTTTGGGGGATTTTAGACNTGATTTGATTGATTTGATTGATTTGATTGATTTGATTGATTTGATTGATTTGATTGATTTGATTGATTTGATTGATTTGATTGATTTGATTGATTTGATTGATTTGATTGATTTGATTGATTTGATTGATTTGATTGATTTGATTGATTTGATTGATTTGATTGATTTGATTGATTTGATTGATTTGATTGATTTGATTGATTTGATTGATTTGATTGATTTGATTGATTTGATTGATTTGATTGATTTGATTGATTTGATTGATTTGATTGATTTGATTGATTTGATTGATTTGATTGATTTGATTGATTTGATTGATTTGATTGATTTGATTGATTTGATTGATTTGATTGATTTGATTGATTTGATTGATTTGATTGATTTGATTGATTTGATTGATTTGATTGATTTGATTGATTTGATTGATTTGATTGATTTGATTGATTTGATTGATTTGATTGATTTGATTGATTTAATTGATTTAATTGGTCTGATTGATTTAATTGATCTGATTGATTTGATTGATTTAATTGATTTGATTGATTTGATTGATTTGATTGATTTGATTGATTTGATTATTATGCAAGAATAGGCGCTAATAGTCATTACTCATATTTTGCTCTGTGGAAATAGTTCCAATTTCTCGGTAAAATCGAACAAGTGCGGGTAAATGACGGGAGAAACTATTAGTAATTTGGGCAGCGCTGGGTTACCAATCTAGTATAAATTTAAACATTAATCTATGTATGTGAATGGTTAGTTAACATAACAGTACGCTAAAAATATTTTCAGGTATTTGTTCGAACTGAAATTTACCATTTGTTGACAATCTCAAATACATTAACGGCGATAAGGTTGGATTTATAATGATATTTTATACATTAATTAATGTAAAAAGCTCAAAAAAACACACTTCACTTTTCATTTGCGAGGCAGTGTGTGGTTCATTCAACTTTAAACATAAACAATAATAATCTCACCATTACTTTAAACGCAACAAACCATTCTTTTTTACTTTCTGTTATTCTTAGTTTTTGATGAACGGTAATGAACATAGATAAATTAGAATAACAGATTTAAAACTAAATGTTGTCTTTTCAAAATTTGGATGAAACTCGTTCACATTAGCTCTGAGGCAGAAGCCCAGAATTAAAATTAGAATTACAAGACAGAGAGAGCCTGTTCTTCGCCGACTGCGCGAAACTCCTCAGGACTTCTGCCTCAGGGTTATTGTGAACGAGTTTCATCCAAATCTCGAAAAGACGAAATCTAGTGTTATATCTGTAATTTTAATTAATCTATGGTTAACTATCTCAAAATTCTCAGTTTTTGCCGTTCGGTAACCTAGAACTTCTGTTTATTTTCACAACCTGCAGTTTGTTTACGACCAGTCCTATAATATGACATACCCTCAGACGTTACTTCTTGTGTCGCGTTTTCATTGGTTGATAAGCTGAAGCACCGACCATAGTGTGTGTCAACTTTACGTACTTTGACTTCGACTGAAATCATAGAAATTATTTATTAACCTTGGACGATACAAGTTTTATTAGGTGGTGGTTTTTTTAGTTTTAGTGTTGCCCATTTTTCACTGTTACTTTGTGGGGGGGGGGATGATAAGTTTATCTATAATACTATATTTTTGGTTTTTGGGGATAAAGGAATTGAGTCTTTGCCACAAACTCTGATTTTCTGATTTCAATATCTTTGCAACCCAATGTCGTAGACCCTTGATATTTCAAACTATGAATTATGTTAGACCAAATAATCTAATTTTGAAGTATCAAAGGTGTGCGCCATTAGGTTGCAAAGATAGATAGATAGATAGAGATTATAAAATTTGAGCTTGTGGCAAAAACTCAATTTCTTTTATTTATAGTAATATTATTTTGGTTTTTAGGGATAAATTTATTTATAATACTGTTATTTTGGTTTTTGGGGATAAATTTATTTATAATACTGCTATTTTGGATTTGATTTTTTTTGAAAGAAATTTTTCTCTTAATTAAGAAAGTTCAAGCCTATATTCAAGTTTAATTTTATTTCGAGCTTGAGCGAAGGACAGAATAGAACTTTGAAAAAATTTGAAAATTTGAGTCCAAAAGCTTTATAGGACATTGCCAAATGATAGTACAGTGAAACCCTTAATAACGAATACATCGAAAGAATTCATCAAATGTCGTAATGATAATGGAATGTTGCAGATATTTAGTTTTTTAATTGAATGATTATATGAAACTCTTTAAAACTGTTCCGCATATTCATGGCTATTTACTTATTTTCGCAAATACTAAAATTTACGTAATATAGTATAAAACTCATTGAAAAATTGTCAAGACGGCATTTGTTAAATTCTTCCGAAGTATTCGTTATTAAGGGTTTCACAGTATTATATGTAGGTATTTTTTATGAAATGAATTGTGTACTTAACTTGACAGAATGGTTATTTTTAGATATAAATAGTAATAAGCTTTTTGACAAATCATAAAGACACTAACAACACTGTCTATATTATTCTTGTTTAAATAAAAAAATTTTACATTTAGCGCGATAATTACTTTACAGCATCGTTTTGATGAAAAACTTCATCATGCTGTAGAGCTGTAGGTATGAATGAAAAAATACACTTACATTTTGGCAATGGAAAAAATGGATTAGGCAACAAAAAATTTCCGTTGGAATCCGCACACAGTTTGATTTCTCCTCTTTACCAATTATCAGATGATAGGAAATTTTAATGGATTGGCAAGTTCTTTTAGGGCACTTTCTAGACTTTACCCTGTCACAATTGGGGGGGGGGGGGGGTGAAAACACCACCGCCCATCTATACTAGGCAAACATAGCCCAATCGGAATGGGTGTAAACAATTATATAAAATGAGAAAGAAAAATCATATATAGTGACGGGGGCAGGGGCCTCTTTATGGGTGGGCATTTTACCTCTTGTAATAGCCTTTCTAAGGATTTACTGGAAATTACAAAATATTCAAATTTCACCCCAATTTGAATATCTTTGAAGATCAATATTACAAAAACTAGAATGTTCTATTATTTTCAATTCCTTGCTAAAAAACTGCACATATCCATAACATCCGAGAGTTCTGGAACATGGTTGCTCACATTGTTTATGATGGTCTCTTCCAGCACTCTCTAAATAATAATGAACTTTTACAGAAAATTAAGGATTATATAATGCCTGTAGTAGAGCATTAATAAATGGCTTGAAGCTTAAAATCATTTAATTTTTGAAAAAGCATTTCAGGGGACTGTACATTTACAACGATCCTCAAAACATAGATGGAACATTTGGAATCTTTATCTGATCAGTAACTTGGGAGATATTGTCGTTTTCTATAAACTCTAAACCAATATCTAATTTACGCTTGATCAGACAAAGCTTTTGAAGGTACTGGTGTGATTCAGCCAATGGTCACTTGAAATTACGCTTAAAGGAAAAAAAACTATTGTCCGAATTTAATCATGATATTTCATTCATGCAATAATGATGCCTGATGATTGTACAAAGACGATTGTTTTTAAATTCAGTTTTTTGGCATTTTATCTTTTAGAAACAGAGATCAACACTTGGTGTTTTCAATCCCGGGAATAAGTGGTTTTCCGTAGCCATTGCTGCACTCCTGTAGATTAGTTTAATTCATGTGTGGATTTAACGTGTGGTGGTCGTACCTTGGTCGTACCTTGAAGGGATAACAAAAATATTTGATTTGCCCCCCCCCTTCCTAGGAGCTCCAAGGGGGGGATTTATAAAATTTTAAAATAAGTGCGTTCCTTTTAAAGATAAGTGCTATTTCACAACACAAGTTTTAACCATAATTAAACCCACCTGAAAACTCTGTACAGTTTTAATAAAGTCTCCATTTTGACCTAATGCACTTTAACTTACCTTAAAACTCTGTACAGTTTTAAGATAGTTTCCATCTTCTAGAGCGATATTTGTGAAGAATGTTGCAAATGAAGTTGTTGTTGTAAGTTGGCAAATGGTGACCTAATAAAATAATTTACAAATATTTTTTCAATTCTCTAATTTTCTTTGATCGAGTAATGATTGAAAATATTAAGCCTTTTTTCTCTAAAAAAAAAATCGCTAAACAAGAACTATTGCTAACGAGAAAAAAATTATAACAAAAAATAATCCCTCCAGTGGAATTATAATCCCCTAAGAAGGATTTTTGAATCCCTCCAGTGGAATAATAAAACCCTAGGAAGGATATCTGAATCCCTTCAGTGGAATTTTAAACCCCCTGGAGAGATATCTGAACTCTCCAGTGGAATTATAAACCCCAAAGGAAGGATATCTGAATCCCTCCAGTGGAATTTTAATTATCCGACGGGATATCTGGATATTTCATTCTAAAGTTTTCAGCTCCAGATAGATATCCGAATCCCTTCAGTGGAATTATAAACCCCAAAGGAAGGATATCTGAATCCCTCCAGCGGAATTATAAACCCCCTGGTTAGATATCTGAACCCCCCAGTGGAATTATAAACCCCAAGAAAGGATATCTGAATCCTTCCAGTGGAATTATAAACCCCAAGAAAGGATATCTGAATCCCTACAGTGGAATTATAGACCCCATGGATAGATATCCGAATCCCTTCAGTGGAATTATATACCCCAAAGGAAGGATATCTGAATCCCTCCAGTGGAATTATAAACCCCCTGGATAGATATCTGAACCCTCCAGTGGAAATATAAACCCCCTGGTTAGATATCTGAACCCTCCATTGGATTGTAAATCACCCTGCGTAAAGTTTCAAATTGAAAAAAAGTTTCTTTGGTGGTCTCCAGTAGAATCGAAATCTTACTACGCAGTTCTTTGAGTCTTTACTCTTAAATTTTTCGTGGTTCTAGAGTCTAATATTGATGAAATACGACCTAAGGGAACTGTATTTATGGTTCTAGAGTCTAATATTGATGAAATATTAACTCTGGAAACTGTATTTATGGTTCTAGAGTCTAATATTGATGAAATATTAACTCTGGAAACTGTATTTATGGTTCTAGAGTCTAATATTAATAAAATATGACCTAAGGGAACTGTATTAATGGTTCTAGAGTCTAATATTGATGAAATATGACCTCTGGAAACAGTATTTATGGTTCTACAGTCTAACATTGATGAAATATGACCTCTGGAAACAGTATTTATGGTTCTAGAGTCTAATATTGATGAAATATTCCCTCTGGAAACTGTATTATGGTTCTACAGTCTAATATTGATGAAATATTACCTCTGGAAACTGTATTTATGGTTCTAGAGTCTAATATTGATGAAATATTACCTCTGGAAACTGTATTTATGGTTCTAGAGTCTAATATTGATGAAATATTACCTCTGGAAACTGTATTTATGGTTCTAGAGTCTAATATTAATAAAATATGACCTAAGGGAACTGTATTAATGGTTCTAAAGTCTAATATTGATGAAATATTACCTCTGGAATCTGTATTTATGGTTCTAGAGTCTAATATTGATGAAAAATTACCTCTGGAAACTGTATTGGTCCAGGATCATCAACAAGATGCACTTCATAATGGGAGTCCCCTAAAACAGTATCTTTAAGTTTAGTTAATGGTTTCTAACTAAGGTTTTGCAGCGAAAAGGAAAAATCGTTTCGCGAAATGTTAGCATTTTTTCGCATTTGCGAAAATTTTCGCTTATTTCGCTCCAATCTGTTTCGCAAAAAAAGCGAAATCATCGTGAAAAAAGAAATGCGAAAATTTTGCGGAATTACAAAAAAAAATGGGAAAAGGCTTTGCGAAAATTCATTATAAAAAAAACAAAATACAGCTTCACACATATTTTTTCTCGAAATTTCGCTTCGTTTTTGCATTTTTCGTTTTTGCCTTTACGAAATTCGAACGAAAATTTTCGCGAAACGTTTTGTTCGCTGCACACATTTGGAACGTTAAAGTTATTGTACACATTGATTTTTAAATAATGAAGAAATCCTGATAACAAAAAAGGGAAAGGTGACGGAAGTGTTTGTTTTTGTAACATTGCACCCTTCGAACCGTAACATCTGTTACACGGGACAAAGAGAGAGTGCAAAACAGTGTACATGTCAAGACAGCTAAGCCTATCAAGTCAAAGTAATTTCTTTGTGTGTCACGTGACCCCACCAGGTTTATGGCCGGTAGAAATGTAAAAAGGTTGCTTTAAAAATAAATTGAATTTAAGATTTTTAGATTTTTAGATTTTGTTGTAAAAAGAAAAAAATAGCGTCGAAGCGTGTCTTAAAAGCGTAGAGCTTAAATAGATTTCTAATTTATATTTTTATCAAAATTTTATGCTTATTACAAAGGGTAAAAATATTGTTCATGGGGAACATTAATATTTGAATGCCGTTAAAAAAATCTAACCTTTTACAAAATCAGAGATAACGGTGCTCAAGAAATATACCATTACAACTGTGAGTCAAAAAATTATCACTTTTATTTCAAAACTTTTAGTGTATTTTTTGTAAAATATTTGATTTTGATTTTTAAACTAAAATAAGTGATGATTTCCTATAGTTGTAATCTCAGCTGCCCTAAATAATACGGTCTCTAAGGAAGGCATGTTTCTAAAAACTATTAAACTGTAAAGTGTAAATGTTTGAAAATTTATATTTTTTGTGTTTGCATAAAAAACTTTGGATTTTTGTTTCAATTGAAAAGATGAGTAAGTAATACGTCGCAAAGGAATTGAGTCTTTGTCACAAACTCTGATTTTCTAATACCTATATCTTTGCAATCCAATTTCGTAGAAGTTAGATATTTCAAACTATGAATTCTGTTAGATCAAATAGCCTAAGTTTGAAATATCAAGGGTTTCCACCATTAGGTTGCCTAAATAAAAGGATGGAAAATTTGAGTTTGTGGCAAAAACACAATTTCTTTGTTCTATAAATGTGATACTTCCAAAATTTTCATTTTCAATTAAATTCTATTCTAAGTTTTCATTTGATATGAAAATTTTTCCCTCATAAAATTTGCAAAGAATTCTCTCAAACTTTAACTTTTTAATACTTTGCGAACTGATGGCTTAGACCATTGATATTTCAAGCTATCAATTCAGGTAGATCAAAGTTTGAAATATCAAATATTTACACCAAGGACTGAATTTTATGAATAGGAGAGGTTGCTAAACTATACTACAGCCGGTTCAAATTCTGAATCACCAATTCTAGTCCTCATACATCTTTAACTTTTAATGGATGATTCAAAATTTGAACCGGCGGTAGGTAATTCAGCGACCTAGTTCAAATTTGGTCCCAGATTGCAAAGATGAAAGTTAAGAAAATTAGAGCTTGAGGCCAGTGTTCAATAGAAGTTTAGGGATACAAAAACAATATCTCCCCCAAATGTGTGAATGCTGATATATTAATATATTCAATTATAATGACTTTCCAATTGCTTAAGTTATGGGGGACTAAGTTTATTCTGGTTTGGTTAAACCTCCCAATACAAATATTTAATTAAGTTCTCATTAAAGAGATCGATTGAGTGTTAACTTTGAAAACACAATTCTCAGAAAAAGCTAAAAATAAAGAAAAAACTTTTAGCTCTTTTGAAGAAAAACATGACATCAGGGACAAACATCTTCATAATAATCTGAATATAGTTAAAAAAAAACCATTATTCCTTAATTACGAATTATGAAAATTGCACATTACGAAAGTATAGTATATTGACAATGGCGTGACTTGAGCAAATACTGGACTAGAATTATAAAAGGGCTATATTATCTAAGCTTAAACAGTTACAAAACTTTCTTAAGATGTTTAATGTATGGCAGTTGAACTGAGAATGTAGTATTGTAGATTCATTTGAGACATATAAAACGTTTAATGTTGTATAATTACTGAATTTGATCATAAAGTCGACGTTTAAAGTTATCCATTTGGGTGGTTACGTTTTGAGAATCGATTTTGTAAAATTATTAAATAACTACGACGAAAAATGTAAAAAATTAGATGTTTAGGAACATATTTCTCAATCAAAATTTGTCAATAAATCAATGTTGGAATCAATTATTTCTTTTTCATCCCCTTATATTGAATTTCTTATTCTTTACGAATTTGTTCGCAGATTTCTTTAAATGTCTTTTTTTCAATTACAATTTCAGGAAATCTACAAATATCTAAGTATGATTACTTATTTTCGACTATAAAAGTTACTTTTTATTTTTTGCAAGCTATTTCTATTTATGCCATCAGAAAGAACAAAATAATATTTCTCGACGCTTTAATGATTTTTAAATTATAACCGAACATTATTTTTTGTTTTATATTTTACCTTATCAAAAAATCTCGTTTTGTTACGTAATTGCATGAAAATTGACATTGATATGAATTCCAGTACACCCTGAACTAACGCGAGAGAGAAGAATTTGGTGTCTTTTATTTGGAATCGAAAGTGTTTTCGTCTATAACTCAACAGTCTTTAGACTTACAGATTTGTTTATTTTATACTTTTTCATTCAAAATGTATAAGCCAACAAAAAAGCATTTATAATAAAAGGCTATAAAATTATGTAAAAGGGGTCAAATTGTGATCGAAATTTTTTCAATATAATACGGACGTCGGACATGTTCCAAAATGAGAATAAATTTTATCAAAAACAAATTCTCACGCCTTATTATTAGTTTAAAGTTGACATTTCTTGTTTCAATAATTAGTTTTAGCCATTTTTAATAAACTAGGCTTTTAGGGCGCTTCGCGCCCATCTTCTATTTCAACTTTTAATTGTGGCTTTATCTCTGAATTTCTTCTCTTTGTACAGTATAAAACAAAAACAAAAAAAGTTTGCGGATTTCATAATATTTTTTTGCGCATTTTCAAAATTTTTCAAAAATAAAAAACTTTTAAACACAAATTTTTTAAATTTTGATTTTTCATAAACCTTCCCTGGGGTCCCTAGATGTCCCACAAAAAATTTGGGCCCGATCGGTTCAGCCGTTTATTGGATACAGACAGACAGACAGGCAGACAGACAGACAAACAAACAAACAGACAAGCCAAATTTATATATAGATGTGTGGTGTAATTTTGTTCAACTCGGCTGGGATTTAAAGATATATACTCTTGAACAAGATAACTTTGCAGATTTGGCCCATATATAACACTCAGTGTTAGAAATGGACCAAGTGTTAGTTTTGGTACTAATTTCCCTGAAATGAATCCTAAAAAATTTCTCAGCAATACTACACACGTGGATTTAACGATTCTGTCAATATTTCAGAAAACTGTGACTTTTTGATCACAATTTGACCTCTTTGCCATAATTTTAAAGCCTTTTATCTTAAATACTTTTTTGAATGAAAAAGTATAAAATAAACAAATCTGTAAGTTTAAAGACTGTTGAGTCATAGACGTTTGATTTCAAATAAAAGAAACCGAATGCTTCTCTCTCTCGTTAGTTCAGGGTGTCCCAAAAAACATGGGAATTCAGAGACGAATTCGATATCGTATTTGTTATGAATTAGCATTGTAACATCTAATTTAAAAAGCTTAATATTTTATGTTATGTCTGCTAGAGTTTATTTTATTAAAAGGGTAAAAGACTGTAAAGATGTGTCTATAATGTCTCCACAAGATGAACAGTGAAGACGGAAAAGTTTACTCTATTTGTAATACTACAATTTTCTTGTGTTACTAAGCTGTATGCAGTCAAAACATAAACAAACAAAATGTGAACATAGCAGACGAAACTATTACAGATTACAGTTTTCTCAGTTATAGGTATCACTAGACTAAATCAAAGAATTATTTAAAAAGACGATATCGACTTCGTCACAGAATTCTCATGTTTATTGGGACACCCTGTACATTCTCATACGTTGCTGGTCATTCCCTTTAACAAACTAATCTAACAATCAGAACCATATTCAACATCACGTTGCCTAAATTTGAGTAAAAGTGCTTAAAGGCACAAAAACAACGCCAGGACGAAAAAAAGGTGTGGTCGGAAGAAATAATGGTGAGCTCAATGCCGAGAAGTTGATTTTGTGACAGTTTTTCTGTGGTCGGACGAAAAAAGGTATTACATGTTACATCCTGATAATTTCCTTATAGCAGGAATGCACGAGACACTACATAGAGGAACCGCAAACCTTTCAAGGGTACAATTGTAAATAAAACATGCCGTTCTACAATAGTGACTAATTTTTAAGTTTAACGAATGACCTCTAATTTATAACTTTCAATTGAAGTTTTCTTTAGAAGAGACTTGCTGAGTAATGCTACAAATACAATGGAGGAAATTGACACCTATCAATTCAGAAAAACGACAATATCTTTCACAAAATTAATAAGTTAAAGTTCCTTAAAGTTTGTGGGGCCTCTAATCTGAGTGGAAGATCAAGAAGTACAGTTAGGATTTCCTGCAAAAATTTTCTTTCCTATTTCGCAAACTTTATCGGCGAATTATGCATTTTTTTCAAAAAAGAATTTTGCGAAATGTAGCGATAACAATGCAGAATTTCGTGAAGATTCAAAAATGTGCGAAATCATAAAAAAACGAAAGTTCAGGGAAACTTAAAGTTCCCCAATGCATAAATGTTCTCTTTTTATTTTCTACGAACGGAATGCAAAAAAGCGAGATAAAAAAGGTGCAAGACATGTGTAACTTTATTCGTGGACAGGAGTCTAATGGGTGTGAGTATTCCCGGGAAACATTAACAACATTGAGGGAACTAATTCAAGTTCTTGAAAACGTGATACAAACGTGCGACTTGTTCAGGGATTTTTTACCCCCCCCTCCCCCCCAACTTGAGATAATAAACAGTTTTTTTTTAACAAACCAAGGATGCAGAACTACCCCCACTACCTTCTACCATTTCTTATGTTAGAAATTGAATACCCCCTGAAAATGTATATATATATATATATCTATATATAATTATGAACCTAAACTTTATTTAGTAAAGAATAAAACCATATTAGTTCATAATAGAATTAATTTCTAAACATAATTCACACAAAAACGTAATTGCCCAATAAACTGCGTATGAAGAAAAATACAGTACAATTTTTAAAATATTTTTATTTCAGTAAATACATTTATTACATTATGCAATACATATAAAACTATAAGGTACTTTATTGATCAGGTACAATTGGGGTGATAAAAAAAAAAATTCTTATTTTCAATTCATACCTTTAAACTTAAAAAGTATACATTATTTTATATTTTTGCCAGAGTCTAAAGGATTGGAGATAAAAAATGAATGCCATTTTTAAAAGCAACAATATTACTATAATTTTATAATATTTAAACAATTCTAAAAATAATAACTTAGAATTTTTAAAAGTTATATTCGGAAGAATAGAAGTAGTTATGTTTTCATAATATTTTTTTGCGCATTTTCAAAATTTTTCAAAAATAAAAAACTTTTGGAGACAAATATTTGAAATTTTGATTTTTCATAAACCTTCCCTGGGGTCATAAACATAAAATGTTCTAAAGGAAAGTTACACAGCACTTCACAAAAAAATAGTTATTTTAAACCATTATTATCGAATTTACACGTCGTTACAAAACCAATTTATTTTTTATTTGAAAGAAAAAATTATTTAAAATGATGATTATTCATTAACCTTATTGACATGTTAAATTAGATGATTGTTACTTAAACATACGAAATAAAAAGTGTTCAAATCTTTTCTGTAAAAAGTTAGTTAGCAAAAAATATGAATGTAACTAATTCTAATAAAAATACAAAGTTTTTGTTCTATTTCTTTTGTGATTTATAAAAAAAAACAGATCGAGCTAATGGATAATGTTTGCCTGAAAAATTAAAAAGATTTTTTTTTCAATTTGAAATTATTAAATATCATAATATATATCAGAATATATTTAGTGTTCCTCTATTTGAAAATACACATAATACCTATTTTACCGCACAAAGATGTTCCTGAATTAAGAACAGAATGTTTAATATTTTGTTAAATAAACCATTCAGAAAAACTACAAATTTATTAAATTTTCAGACTTTCCCCTGCCAATTTCTATACACTAGAAAATTCCACGTGAAAACTACGAATTTCGCGGATTTGTTTCATGTGAATATCTACTCCAAAATCTATATACGAGGATAGACAAATTAAGTTTCAAAGAATGATTCCTGATTAGTTTGAAGGTTTTATTACATTTTTAGATCCTTGGGACAGCTTTGAATGATAAGATTTAGTTAAAGATAAATTGGCTATTTATTTAGGTTTGAACTATTTCATTGTCTCCTCAGCATCTCCCAAAATATTTCATTGTCTCCTCAGCATCTCCCAAAATATTCCATAATCTCCGTAGCATCTCCCAAACTATTCAATTGTCTCTTCAGCATCTCCCAAACAAGGGTTTGCTGTCAGCATCTCACCCTGGCACATCACGGTCAAATGTCTGAATTATTTAAAGGTCAATTGCAGTCAAATGCCTGAATTACTGTAAGGTCAATTACGGTCAAATGCCTAAATTATATTAAGGTAAATTTTGAGGTCAATTTAAGTCAAATGCCTGGACTATTTATAGGTCAATTGTGAGCAAGTGTTTGAATTGTATTAAGGTCAATAGTGGTCAAATGACTGAATTAATCCGGCCAATTGCAGTCAAATGATTGAATTACTTTAAGGTTAATTGTGGTCAAATGCCTGAATTACTTTAAAGTCACTTAAAGTCAAATGCCTAAATTATATCAAGGCCAATTGCGGCCAAATGTCTGAATTATGTTAAGGTCAAACACGGTCAAATGCCTGAATTTTTTTAGGTCAATTGCGGTCAAATGCCTAAATTATATCAAGGTCAATTGCAGTCAAATTCCTTTGCTATTGCGGTCAAATGCCTGAATTATTGCGGTCAAATGCCAGAAAATTGTAAGGTAAATTGCGGTCAAATGCCAGAATCATTTTAAGTTCAATTGCGGTCCGATCCCTAAATCATTTAAGGGTAAATTGCGGTCAAATGTCTGAATTATTGTAAGGTCAATTGTGTTCAAATGCCTGAATTATTTTAAGATCAATTACGGTCAAATTCCTGAATTACTTTCAGGTCAATTGCAATCAAATGGCTGAATTATCTTAAGGTCGATCAAATTCAATGACATAATCAAGGTATCAAATCAATTTAGGGTGTCAAATCAACTCAACTCAACTTAACTCAAACATTTAGAAACACTACATAAAATATTAAAATTTGGCCTCATAGTTTGTAATGGATCCGCTCTAGGGATGCCCTACAATCCACATATCAATCTCAAGATGAAGTTACTAAACCGAATTTGTACTAGCTTACCAATAACAGAACCCAAAAAGAAGCAGGCAACCTAGTGAACAAGAATACAACCAACCACAGGGCCGCCCATCGCATGACTTACCTAAGTATAAGCTTGACATGGGCTTCATCTTGAATTCTAATCTTGCCTCCAGCAGATAGAGACACAAAGGGTAGTGTCACTTCCTTAAGGTCTAGTTGGTCAACCTTCAGCCCTAGACTCGCCCTGCATATAATGTCATATAGCTTAGGAGGTAATATACTGTGGAGTTAATGGAGGTCATAGAATGCATGGAGGTCAAGGAGATTATGTTGGTCAAAGGGGACATAACATTAACCATGTCCATGAAAGTTCTGGAGGTCACAGTTTATAAGGTTTATAAATGTAATCCAGTTCATGAAAGTCATTAAATTCACGGACTTCATAGAAATCATGGAATTCATAGAATTGATTGAAATCATATAGGTCATGGAGGTCAAAAAGTTTATGAAGGTCATACAGTTTAAAGAGGTTATGCAGTTGATGAAGTTCAAACAGTTCATGGAGGTCATAAAGTTAATTAACAAATCAAATCATAAATAGAAAGTGTTTAACTACAAAACGTACTCAATGTGCATATTGAGACCGGAATGAAAGCTAAGCATCTCCGTCTCTGTAATCTCATTTTCTCCATCCTTGTGGAAACACTGCCACAGACTCTTCACTAGAAATACAATCATTTAGTGTTAAGACTGGCCGCTAGTATGGAGTTAACCACATTGTTAAGACTGACCACTAGATGGAGTTGGCAACATTATTAAGACTGACCACTAAATGGAACTGGAAACATTGTTAAGACTGGCCACTAGATGGAGTTGACAACATTGTTAAGACTGACCCCTAGATGGAGTTGGCAACATTATTAAGACTGGCCACTAGATGGAATTGGCAACATTGTTAAGACTGGCCACTAGATGGAGTTGACAACATTGTTAAGACTGACCCCTAGATGGAGTTGGCAACATTATTAAGACTGGCCACTAGATGGAATTGGCAACATTGTTAAGACTGGTCACTAGATAGTGTTGGCATTTTAAAGATCTGTCCTATTATGGAGTTCACAACATTGCTATGGAAAGCCACTGAATAAAGTAGAATACATAAATCAGGCTCTAGATGGACCTGGCTAACCCTTGATGCAACTATTAATAGATTATAGAACTATTAATAACCTTAAACCTCGGATTTGGTGGCGTTCACTTAAATACGAGAATTTATCTATTTATAAGAATAAACAATAAACATAGCGTTGATTACCTTCTGCAGCATCAAATGTGAGTTTGAATGTGGATATTTTCTCCTTGGTCGTCTTCATTGTTTGCGGAATTGAGTAGCGGAAGACAGCATTCTTAACAACTGTCTCCTATAATAAATAAGATTTTAATGAAGAAGAAAGGTTTCGAAACTATTATTCTTGTGGATTGACTGAAAAAAAGATATTTTATTGTGTTGGGGCATTTTAACTAAGTAAAATACTAAAAAATATGTGAATTAAAATTTTGATTTGAACCTAAACCGGTTAATATTTTTTTTCAATATTATAACGATAATTTTGATTATTACACTTTCTTCCTACAGATAATACTACAATAATACCTGCTGGGTTTGTGGAGAAATATTATTCTTACTGGACAGATCCTTCCGTTTCTTTGCTCTTAATGAAAAAGATATTAGTATAGGATAATGTTAGATGTCATAAAATTTTTTAATTATTTAATCAAGTTATAACATCAACGTTATAACATCAACGTTATATTCCCAAAGTGGCTAAAATGCTTTCTAAAAGGGAGTGTTCGCGAAAAATTAAAGGGAGTATAGGTTTACGGAGAAAAAATTATTGAAGGTGATCGTTTCTAATCTTACTTCTTATCTGTTGTGTCTTTAAGGAGAAAATTGTTACAAACGACTCACACTGAAGAAGGCCATACAAATTCAAAAAGTTGCAACATTCGACTCTGATAGTAAAAAATCAATTAAATTCCAAACAAATCAATCAGATATTTCAACCTATAATAATCATTTTTTTTTTTAATGCAGTAGACTTAGTTGTGTTTCTTGCCTGCTGAGAGACGTTTTTCATCCCCCCCCATATTCATTGAAAGTAATTTCAAGTGACCCTCGGCCTCCATTCAAAGATGGCACTGTCCGATTTACAATTGTACTAATTAAAGCTTAATATATCAATGTTGATAATAGTGATCAAGATTTAGAATTATAAATTAATCTTTATAATTTTGATCAAGAATGAATTATAATTTAATGTTTATAATTTTGATCAAGAATGAATAAAAACCAAATATATTCTCTTCAAAAATAAAAAAGTAGATTATTGCAGTGCTGCAATTGGACTGTTTGTGTACCTTTAAAGTATCTTATATTTATTCCTGTGGCATCCAAGTAGCCAAATATTCCGATTTTTTTAGTGCTTCACGCAATTTATGTTCACCACCGCAAGATTTATTTTTGTATGCACCCTTGGTAATTTTATTCGAATTCATACATGTAAATAAAAAATAATTTCGGTGTTTGTGTTATTTTACTGGTCAACATATTTTGGATTTTTTTAGTTAAAATTTAAATTTAATTTTCTCGTATGAAGAAATGGATTAAATTTCATGAATTTGAACGAAACAGGGACACAATATAAAAACGTTATTCTACTTTCATCGCCAAAAATATGATAAGGAGAAAACACAATCATTACTTAATTTTGTTTTTCCCCTTTGAATACATTCTGTAATGTTCTAACTGAGAACATTGAGCCATTTAACACGAGAAATATTTATAAAAATACAAAGAAAACGAGGACGGAGGAAAAAATTAAAGAAAAAAGATATTTGAAGTTTTAAAATAAAATTTAAATTACCTGAAAATATAAGTGGAGAAATAACACAATCAAAACATTTAGATAATCCGTAGAGTACACGCTCCACAGTATCCACATTACCCTGCAGTACAGTACATAATTGTTAGTAGTACACGCTCCACAGTATCGACATTACCCTGCAGTACAGTACATAAATATGTATATATCGTTAGTAGTACATGCTCCACAGTATCCAAATTGCCCTGCAGTACTGTACATATATATATTGGTAGTAGTACACGCTCCACAGTATCCACATTACCCTGCAGTACAGTACATCATATATATTGGTAGTAGTACACGCTCCACAGTATCCACATTACCTTGCAGTATATATACTCAAATATCTCGATTTTAAATAACATTTTTTCTAAACCTCAAAACATCTTGGTGAGTTACTTAAGTTTTTTGAAAAAACCATTTTCTCTTTTCAAATGACAAAAATTTGGAGAAAACGCCGCACCTTTCAAAATTCTAAAAAAGTGTTAAAACTGGGATACAGTACAGTACAGTATAGTACAGTTATATACTTACCGAGGTCAGAAGAACAGGTAGAGATGTTGCATTTGCTGATTTTATCATTAGTTCTGAAGTTTCAATTCCACACAAGACTCCTTTAAAGAATTAGAAGTAACGAAGGTTAAAAAAGTACTGTTCACGTCTAAGTTAGCAGTACGTAGACGGGATATTAATATAAATAAATAAACAAATAAATAAACAGTAAATCTTCATTTATATCTCGGTTCCTTTTTGAATAAATATTCTAAAATTACGTTTTTAAGAAATGATAAGAAGTTGCCTCAGTTTGAAAAACTTATTAAAAAAATATCTAAAAAGACCATCCCATATCCTTGATCATCCCATATCCTTGATCATAAAATCGAAGAAAAAAATACACTAAGATAGTTTTTTTTTGTTTCGAGTAAAAATTACCTTCACTTAAGAAAGGAACAAAAAAGTTAAAATAGCTCAAAATTTGAAATTTTACTCACAATGTCCAGTGTTTAATTTCAAATGTCATATGTACAATGTATAATGTACAATGTACAATGTCCCATGTCCCATGTCCCATGTCCAATGCCCAATGTCCAATGCCCAATGTCCAATGCCCAATGTCCAATATCCAATATCCAATCTAATGTCTAATGTACAATTATTTTAAATTGTACATTTTTTAAAATGTAAAATAAAAAAAGTCAAATTTAATATGTCCAATTTTAAATGTACAATTAAAAATTCCCGATTTAAATGTACAATAAAAAATGTACAAATAAAAATGTCCAATTTAAAATGTCCAATTTAAAATGTCCAATTTAAAATGTCAAATTTAAAATGTCAAATTTAAAATGTCAAATTTAAAATGTCTAGTTTAAAATGTCTAGTTTAAAATGTCTAGTTTAAAATGTCTAATTTAAAATGTCTAATTTAAAATGTCTAATTTAAAATGTCCAACTTAAAATGTCCAATTTAAAATGTAAAATTAAAAATGTACAATTTACAATTAAAAATGTCCAATTTAAGATGTATAATTTAAAATGTCTACAATTTCAAATGTACCAACTTAAAATGTCCAATTAAAAATGTAGAATTCAAATGTCACATTAAAAAGGCCAATTTAAAATGTATATTAAAAAATGCCCGATGAAAAATGTCCAAATTAAAATGCCCGCTTTAAATGTCCGATTAAAAATGTACATACCATTGAAGATAATCCTGTCCTGGTCGTCCCAGCAGACACGGACTTCAATCATGAGCGCGTCTTTGTCATTCCTTGACCCTCTGAAATATTAAAAAATAAGGATTGCCGACAAAATTTTTAGTGACCCTCCATTTTAAAAGTTATGGAACGGATTTAAAACATTACCCTTTAACCTTTATTTGAGTAATAATGAGGATTTTTTTGTCATTTTAATGTTCCATTATCGCAATCCTAGTATATGTCAGACATAGTATTAAATATCCATTTCACTTTTTTTCCAAAGAACCAAAATTGCAAATTACCAATGTTTCGGAGACATCGAAAAAATTTATAAATGTCATCTTGAAATTTTTTAAACGTGGTTCATTTCATTAAAGCTAAATCTCAGTATAATTGTAAAAATAAATAAATAGTCATGAATATGCGGGAACAGTCATGAAGAGCTCTATGTAATTATTCAATTGAAAATATAAATATCTGCAGCATTCCATTTTTGGTAGGTTAAGAAGACGACATTTTATAAATTCTTTCGATTACGCCTAAGTTCTGGGTTAAACTGTGGTAAGTTTGACCTGAGTCCCTGCAGTGTTGATATCTCGACTTTATAAATATCAGCCACAGAAGAGTCAGCTGGTAGAAAACTCTGGATAACAGCAGCATACCTCTTCAAAGCTTTCTAAAATAACAACCATTAATATATATACAGAAGTTTTAATTTTTTCTCGAAATTATGAGATTTTTACTTCCATGCTCAAGAGTCAAATGTAACTTGATATCATATCATATCAAATCTCTTGTGGTGTACCACAAGGGTCGATATTAGGACCAATTTTATTTTATCAATGACCTTCCTTAAGCATCGAAATTTTTTACAATTCTTTTTGCCGATGATGCAACACTGCAACTTTCTTCAAAAAGCTTACACGACTTATATGATTTGGTAAATTTTGAGCTCTCTAAAATAGAAGATTGGTTTAAAGCAAACAAACTGACTTTGAATGCGTCTAAAACCAAATATATTCTCTTCAAAAATAAAAAAGAAGTTGTAAGTATCACCTCGCTTAAACTTCAAATAGATAATAAAGATATAGAAAGAGTAGGAACTGGATGCAAAAATGAATCTTTTAAGTTTGTAGGTGCTCATTTAGACGAAAATCTTAACTGGAACCATCATCTTAAGGCAGTTAAAAACAAAGCATCCAGTGCAGTTTTTGCTTTGTCAAGTGTAAAAAATATTCTTACTAGTAATAATAAACTAACCATTTACAACTCTTTATTTCGATCAATTATAGAATATGGAATTTCAGCCTGGGGAAGAAACAAATGTTCAGAAATAAAACAAATTCACATTTTACAGAAACGAGCAATACGATTAATTGATAACTCAAAAGCCACGTCTCATAGTGATCCTCTTCTCCTTATTCTAAAGATTAATGATCTGGTAGACTTTAACCAAGCTATATTTATGTATAAATATACACATAAACTTCTTCCTGCATCTTTTAAAAATATTTTTAAAAAGCTTGGAAACTTTGAAAGATCTCTTAACTATCAAATTGACATTCTCAAAATGTGCTCATTACAGTATTTACCATCAAGCTCTCTTCTTAAGATGTGGAATAACCTGCCTCTTGACTTAAAAAGAAGCAACTCTCTAAGTATATTTAAAAATAGACTACTAAATTCTCTTTTTGAAAATTACATGACAATGTGTTATAAACCGAATTGCTATTCATGTAAAACTTATTAGATATGTTTTAATATGCTTTGATATTCGTTGTGTTCAAGTAAGAAAATTACTTAAACTCTAGTTATTCGAATTAGTGTATAAACTATTTAGCATAAGATAAAATCGCACCCTGATCTCTAATCGTTCTCCTTAAATCTATTTAATTGAAATGTTTTGCTATTTTTATTAAAATTAGGTGGAAAAAATAATCAAAACAGCCAAGAGCTATTTTCCACCATCATCACAATCATGACAATAATCAGATATCAGCCTGAAGTTCTGAAAATAATGATCATCACAATCATGACAATAATCAAATATCAGCCTGAAGTTCTGAAAATAATGATCATCACAATCGTGACAATAATCAAATATCAGCCTAAGTTCTGAAAATAATGATTATCACAATCATGACACTAATCAGATATCCGCCTGAATTTCTGAAAATAATGATTATCACAATCATGACAATAATCAGATATCCGCCTGAAGTTCTGAAAATAATAATTATCACAATCATGACAATAATCAGATATCCGCCTGAAGCTCTGAAAATAATTTTAACATCGGTACCAGTACAAACGTCGGACCCACAAACGTCGGACGGTACAAACATAAGACTTACAAACGTCGGACAGTACAAACGTCGGACCAGTACAAACGTCGGACCAGTACAAACATCGGACCAGTACAAACGTCAGACTGGTACAAACGTCGGACCAGTACAAACGTCGGACGGGTACATTTATAAGGAAAAACGTCGGACCAAGGAGGAAAAAATATATTTGAATTTTCAGATTAAAATTCTTGTAAATTCGCAATTTTCTCTAAAAAAAATCCCAAATTTTTTTTGTTAAAAATTCATAATCTCACAAAGTCTGGATACATGGACGAGGAGACTGCTAACTATATTGAGGTTAAGCAGGGGGGACGGCACCTACATGATTCAAATCAGTTTGAATATAGGGTTACAAAGAAGAAACCCAACAAAACCGATTACCAATGCATTCAAAGGAAAAACAATTCTTGAGAATGACAAGATTATCAGTTTCCTGCAGGAGAGCATACACATGACAGTGATCTTTTGAAGAAAAGAGTACGGGAAATAGAAAAACAAGTAGTTAAAGAAAGCTCTGGAAATAAAGCAATAAGTCTACGAACTGTTCTTGGAAACATCTACAACATCGGGTTGCAAAGATATAGGGATTAAACTGTATGATCTTGTAGAATTCATAGTTTGAAATTGTTTAATACAATGGTACATTCAAAATCTACCAAGTCCGACGTTTTTTCTTATAAATGTACCCGTCCGACGTTTGTACTGGTCCGACGTTTGTACTAGTCCGACGTTTGTACTGGTCCGACGTTTGTACTGGTCCGACGTTTGTACTGGTCCGACGTTTGTACTGGTCTGACGTTTGTGCGTCCGACGTTTGTACTGTCCGACGTTTGTGGCGTCCGACGTTTGTGCGTCCGACGTTTGTACTGGTACCTTAACATCATCTTCTTCATTTAAGTGAAAATGCGGAGTGAAATATTCGTAAATCTGCAAAATTCAGAATTCTAGTTCGTAGCATGTAACTTTGTGCTCAGGGACCGGGGACCGAATTCAATGAATTTAAACTACTTCGCTGAACTACTATCTGCCGGTTCAAAGAATCACCGATTAAAAGTTAAAGACTAAGGAAAGATTTTAATCGGTGATTCAAATTTGAACCAGCAATAGGTAGTTCAAATTCATTGAATTCGGCTCCGGTTTTAATAAATTTGAACTAGGTCAACAGATCAGCTCAAGCATGTATCTTGAATTGTTGGTTCAGGATTTGTTAGTTATCTACAGCGACCTACCTCAAATTCATAAAACTTGATCCTCGTGGTATTTGAAAAAAGTAAACAAATAACATAAACAAACCTGATCATACAATAATCTTTCTTTTTCTTCAAGATTATAATCAGTATCATCTGCAGACTTCTTTTTTTGTTCTTGGTACTTGAGATTCCACAGAGGACTCACCTTGTATACGCTCCAACTGGTTCTTAACAGAGGAAATACTTAATCATTTGATCGATTTAATTGGTTTGATAATCATAATAATAATCCCTGTCGATCCTTCAATATAAGATTTTAGACTTGAGCTACCTTCCATTTAAGTTCAAATGAATTATCCCAGTTAAGAGCTGAGTGTAAATTCAGAGTTAACACAAGCCTATGGCGGTCTGGCATGGACCCTTTTGTACACTCTCAGATTCATCATGATCCTATCTGTACATTAGTATGTTAAAATGTTAAAGATGATTATTGAGATTAAAGGATGAAAGGTTCATGTCATTAAACTGTTTTTATGCATAACATTTGATACATTCTAAGATTTAATTAATTAATAAAAATCTATATAATAAAACTCTTCGCTCACATGTGTGTGTGTGTGAGTGGGTGTGTGAGTGGTTGTGTGAGTGGGTGTATAAATGTATGTATAGAATGATGAATGAACAGATGAATTTAGAAATAAAGTAGGTTAAATGGATTGATGAATGAACAGATGAATTTAGAAATAAAGTAGGTTAAATGGATGGATAAATAAACAGAGATGAATTTAGAAATAAAGTAGGTTAAATGGATTGATGAATAAACAGATGAATTTAGAAATAAAGTAGGCTAAATGGATTGATGAATGAACAGATGAATTTAGAAATAAAGTAGGATAAATGGATTGATGAATAAACAGATGAATTTATAAATAAAGTAGTATGGGTGTATGAATGTATGTATGTATGAATGTATGTATTTATGTATAGTGAATATATGTTAGTTATAGGCCCAAAAATAGGATTTCCCCCCAAATTTTTTGGTATTAGATCTTTAAAAAAAATGTTTACGGGCAACGCCGGGCACTTTAGCTAGTAGCTGACATTTTACCATCCCAGTAAGCTTGTAAGACAAAATGCCAGAAAAAAAACTAACCCTGCTATGAAGCTCTTTGTATGAGGAAATTCAAGCTCTTCATTGGAGGCAATCAAATCAGCAGTATAGAAAACTCTTCTGTTCACACTTCTACCCATAGACCTAAATATAAATCAACCATTAGATCAACCGAAAAAAACAATTAATTAATCAGGAAATCCATTTAACCAGCCAATAAATCAAAGACAAACAATCCACAAAATGGCCGGGTGGTTATTTTTAAAGCTACCTGTACACTTTAGCAGTTTTACTGGCAGTTGTGAAACAGTCCCAGGCGGACGGTATATTTCCACGCCTTGGAGGCGGACTCCGCCTCACCTAAACATTTAAAGATACAAAACAGTTTTAACCGTAGCTCTGTCAAAGGTCCAATGGGAATTCTTGTTAATCTGACTTGCCCACTAATGGAGGCCCACTTGAAATTACGTCTACAGTTCCTTTAAGATAAAAAAATCGAAGAAATTTCGTAAACTATTTTTACCTGTTTCAAAAATTCTGAGATGTGGCTCATTTTACTTTATTTCTGAAATTATTTTGCTATAATAAATTGCGTTAACTTTTTACAACATATGAAAAAAACTAATATTATTATAAATATTAGATTATGGGCCATTGAGAAAATATTAGATTTAAAAACAAAGTACTTAATTTCTACTAAAGGACCTCACTAGTCTCCTGGAGTTTGTAATAACTCTTGTAATAATATAGATAAATGGTGCATACTTTGTACCTATATTCTTTTAATCCATAAGGGACAGAAAAATAATTCAAATTTTTTTTCTTGATCAGGGGCGTAGAAAGGGGGGGGTGTGTGTGTGTGGCCCAAAACATGTATTTATAAAAAGAAATATTTTATTGCCGATATATCAATGATCTAAGATCCAAAATGAACCATTTTTATTGAAAGGAGCGCCAAGAATTCCAATATCGTTGACCACCCTTCTCATGGATTTAATTAGTCAAAAACTAACCATTTTGAACCATTCCAACCTTTAGAAAGTGTCTTCAATAGCTTAAGGATCCAAAATGAACCATTTTTATTGAAAGGGGCCCCTAGAAATTCAATTTTACTGAACACCCCCATCTTGGATTTTGTCAAAAACGACTAAAATAATAATTTTAAAATATTTTAATCCATACCATCTTTTAGGAAGTGTCTTCAATAGCTTAAAGATCCAAAATGAAACATTTTTATCCAAAATCAAATAGTTTTTTACAAATGAAATCCAAGAGGGGAGTGTTCAGTGAAATTGATTTTCTAGGCGCCCCTTTCTATAAAAATGGTTTATTTTGGGTCTATAAGCTATTGAAAACACTTTCTGAAAGTTGTATGGTTTGAAATAATCTAAATTAATTATTTTCTTAGTTTTGACAAATGAAATCCATAAGGGGGGTGTTTAGTGATATTTTTTATCTTGACGCCGCTGAAAAAGTATTTATTGTTTATCATTTCAAAGAAATATTAAATATTTTTATGATTTTACTTTCCTTTCCTTATTTAATTTTGCATTAATGGCATTGATTCTTCTTCAATTTCAAAAGTCTGATGTGTATCAAACGGCCCCCTGACTATTGGCTTTTTAGCCCCTGAACCATTCAGGGCTCCTCCGGTAAGGTGAATCTGTCCTAGTAAGGCTTTTTTGTTGCGGTCTAATATTCTGTCAGACCTAGAATCTTGAAAAAAATTATGAAATATCGGCAATAGAATATTTGTGTATATTAATACCTGTTTTGGGCCACCCCCACCCCCTCTCCTACGCCCCTGATCAAGAAAAAAAATTTAAATATTTTTCTGTCCCTTACGGATTAAAAGAATATAGGTGCAGAGTTAACACCATTTATCTCTATTATTACAAGAGTTATTACAAACTCCAGGAGACTAGTGAAGTCCTTTTAGTATCAACCAAAACATCATTGGAAAAAAGGAGATCAACTTCATCAATAATACATTACAAATATTAATAATAACATAGGTATAATTTGCAAGCTTAAAATATCAATATAACAATAATAAGATCCAATTTCAAGATTCAGAAAACAATCATTGGACTTAATCATTGACCCAGAATGACTTAGATTTGGTCAAACCTATGAACTTGATATGACCAAGATATGTTATTTCTTAGGACTTACAGAGTCAAGACATTGTCAATTCTAGAAATAAACATTCTTGTAGCTATTTATTATAAGGACATATCGAATCGATCCTAAAGACAATTGTGGTTAAGATCAGAGTTCATTCTTAACGATAGTAATGGTCAAGATAATGCACATTTGTTGGACTAGTTATGGAAAAAATATTTCCATTTTTGAAGCGTTTTATTGGTTAGGAACAAGATTAAAAGAGGCTAGTGGAATACCGAAGATTGAATTCTTGAGGATAATGGAATACCCAAGATTGAGTCCTTGAGGCTAATGGAATCCAAAAGATTAAATTTTTTTAGGCTAGTGGAATCCCAAAGATTGCATTTTTTAGGCTAGTGGAATACCCAGATTGGAGTTCTTGAGGCTAGTGGAATAACCAAGATTAAATTGTTAAAGCCAGTTGAATATCCAAGATTATATTCTTAAGGGCTAGTAGTGGAATACCCAAGATCTTGAGGCTAGGGGAATCCCAAAGATTAAGTTATTGAGGCTAGTGGAATACCAAAGATTAAATGATTGAGGCTAGTGGAATATCCAGATTGAGTTCTTTAGGCTAGTGATATACCCGAGTTTAAGTTCTTTAGGCTAGTGGAATACCCAAGATTGAGTTCTTGAGGCTAGTGGAATACCCAAGATTGAGTTCTTTAGGCTAGTGGAATACCCAAGATTGAAGTCTTGAGACAAGTGAAAAGAATACTTGAATTAGGCGCCTCCAGATGCTCTAATCTCCAGAATACTCCTAAAACAAAACCAATTACAAATCCAGCGCTAAGCATTCATTTCATTTTGATGCGGATCTGGATCCTGATAAAACCAATTACAAAACCAGCGCTAAGCATTCATTTCATTTTTATGCGGATCTGGATCCTGATCCATTCTGAAAAAATGGATCCGAAACCAAAACTGAATCCGGATGCAGGTCCTGTAAATTTCTTCAAAATTTAGCGGGTTGTTTGAACAAATAAAATATTCTCTTTCTTTTTTTCCCTTATTTTTTTTTGCTGAAACTTAGTGAGTGAAGCATTCAGAAATTTGGAAATAAATTTTCAGTTAACAATTTTGAATTGTGTTCGAGAGCAAATTTGTTGGTTTTGATGGATTTTTAGCCCCTTTGTTTTTTGCTGATCCGGATCAAGGAAGCCAAAATGTTACGGATCCAACGGATCGGAATCCGAATCCTATGCAATGAATAAAACTATATGAGAGGGTAAAACTTGAAAATTTTAAACTATCTTAAGATTTAAAGGTTAGTTCCCGAAAATGTATAATTACCTGAGATTAAAGGTTAGTTCCCGAAAATGTAGAATTACCTGAGATTAAAAGGTAGTTCCCGAAAATGTATAATTACCTGAGATTAAAGGTTAGTTCCCGAAAATGTATAATTACCTGAGATTAAAGGTTAGTTCCCGAAAATGTAGAATTACCTGAGATTAAAAGGTAGTTCCCGAAATGTATAATTACCTGAGATTAAAGGTTAGTTCCCGAAAATGTATAATTACCTGAGATTAAAAAGGTAGTTCCCGAAATTAAAAGGTAGTTCCCGAAAATGTATAATTACCTGATATTAAAAGGTAGTTCCCGAAAATGTATAATTACCTGATATTAAAGGTTAGTTCCCGAAAATGTTTAATTATCTGAGATTAAAGGTTAGTTCCCGAAAAGGTATAATTACCTGAGATTAAAAGGTAGTTCCCGAAAATGTTGTTTGAATAAAGTTTGATGATTTGAAATAAACTCTAGAGAAAGAGAGAGCAAACTAGGGGGAGCAACACGCAGAAATAAAACCTAAACATACATTTTTAATTCATTTTCGTTAATCATGTGTTTTCATTTTAAAGATAAAGGGATTATTTTAATTAACCAATTTTGAAAACACAAATTTTGTCAAAACTTTTGAAAAAGTCGCTTTTTTGTTTGTTGCCTAAACGCAATTTACGGACCTCCCATCTTTGAGGGTCAATTTTTTTCAGTTGTTTTCATATTTCTAATGTCCGATTTACAACCATGCCCGTTAAAGGTTTTGTCTGATCAAGTATGATTTAGAACTATTATGGTTTTTGTGTATGAAAACTGTTAATTTTCATTTCTGGATTCTCTGCAATAGTGACTTGCGCATTTCTTAACTTCAGAAAGACAAAAGAAACTATCTGAATAAAGCACTTTTTCAAATCAGAAAAACGACGTACTTTATCATCCATATTTTTGATCAGATAAAGGTTTCAAGAGTACCGTTGTAAATCAGGCATTGCTATTTATGCACGGTTGGTAATACTCACTTGAAATTGAGCTTACAGTCCCTTTAAAAAGATCCATACATGATCCTTGATGATAAAATCTTCACATTTTATAATAAAATGTTTAAGTCTAGCAGACTTAAGTGTCATATTAAATTAAGGTATAAATTATTTTATATATTTAAAATGAGAATGAATGAGTTTAACCTTTTCTGCATGATGTTTAGTAACGTATTCCGGAGCCTGGATATTGTTAGTGAGGCCACCAACAATAATTACAGTTGATTGATTGATAGGAACAGCTGTGTGCCAAAGCCGGGCTCCATCCTCAAACTGTTTTTGTCTTACCCAACTCAATTCTTCTAAATCAATTAAATCAATCGAATCGAATCGGATCGGATCGAAATCAAATCGAATCGAATCGAATCAAATCGAATCGAATCGAATCGAATCGAATCAAATCAAATCAAATCAAATCAAATCAAATCAAATCAAATCAAATCAATCAGTGATTGAACCGACTGGTCCGAATTTTTTGTTGGACCCCAATTTAGAACTGAAGTATGACTTAACAAAAAATTCTGCCAGATTAACTTTGAATAACATGTAGAGTAAAGTGCGTTATTTGGTTTTATTTAAAAAATTGCCGAATTTGATTATACCTATCTTTCAACCCTAATATCATTGCAAGTAAAGATGTTAGCCTAGCCAAAATAACTTCTTATTAAAATATTTTTTTTCAGATTTGTATATTGTTAATCGCGAAATTTTCTTCTTTTCTCATTGTAACATTTACAGGACATTAAAAAACAAATGTAAAAAATAATGCATTTTTTTAATTTTAGAGCTAAGAAATGCAATTCAAGAGCTAAGCTTTGTAGGGTTCATTGATTGTTTTTGAATTTTTTTTTCCTCCAGTAGTTGCTCCATAGAGATCTTTGGTAGCTCCTTAAGTGTCAATGATGGAATTATTGCATATTTAAAGTTAAGCATACTACAAACCTATTAAAATGTTTTCGTAAGTTGGGGTATTTGGTTCCAGATTATGCTACTGGCAGCATTAAATATACTCCTTAATAACAAGCCTGGTTAGCTATTATTAAGTATCCGAACTCGTCGGAAAGACGTTAATTCTTTCATTTGAATCTGGTTCTATGTGTAGGTATCAAGAGAGCTCAGAAAAGTCGGGTTCCTATACAACTCTCTCAAGTTTCTTGTGGCTGAACAGAATCCTGTGTGGAATAACAAGAAATAATAGTGCAGAGAAGGAGGGGTTTCTGTATGCCTCTCTTTGCCCTCACTCTTGTCAAAAGAGACAGGAACTCTATAAACCTTGGATTAGAATACTGATGGGTGTGCACCATGCACTACGAGACCAGTTTATACACTGCCGGCTGCAAGGAAAAGATTGTAGACGAAGCCGTGTACTGAAGCACTGTGTCCGAGACAAACAAAAATTCTTTTATCGAAAATAACCACTCCTTTCATAACCTTTCTTTACCATTTGTTATTATTAAGGTGGAATTCTGACAATTGATATCCTCGGAATTTCCAAACCTTGCTAAGGTTAGTGAAATTCTTTTCTAAAACCTGTGTAAGAATATTGAACAATGAATTTGAACCTGAACCTTCAATTAGTTGAGTCACTAGTCAGTATTCCTGGAAAAATTAAATCGGTAGATCAGCGAAAAAACAATGCACAAGTCAGAAAAAATTCACTGCACTTTTGAAAATTGTTAAAAATTTTTGATTATAAAAATAAATTGTAAAAACAAATGCTCTTCACAAACTTAAGCTAATGCCGGAACTGTTTTCAAGAGGACTGAAAACCCTGAACAGCTTGATGATCCTCTTCTCATTGAGCAGTTTGATGATCCTCCCCTTGCTGAACAGCTTGATCCTCCCCTCGCTCAGCAAATTAATGATCTTCTCCTCGCTGAGAAGCTTGATGATCCTCCCTTCGGTGAGCATCTTGATGATCCTCTCCTCGCTGAACAGCTTGATGAGAGGAAGAAAGATTAATGTCGGATAAAAGGTTTTCAACTTTTATTGGTGCTTGGAGGTGAATGAATAATAATAAAATCAAATAATTAATTTTTTTTCTAAAGTTCATTCTTGTCCGATTTGGGTGTTTATTTTTGTTCGTATTTTTTTAAGTGACAAATAATTTAAAAGTTTGTTAAAAAAGTTTTGTTGTAAACATTTTTACTGGACCAGCTTAAACGAGTGTAAAATGATAAAGTTAAACACTAAAACCAAATAATGCAATTTATGACCAAATACAGCAATTTGATATGCTTTAAAGCAAGCGGTGTGTCTAAAACAATGATGAATCATTTCCATATCTTTAAACTTAAGAATATATATTTTTTTCAAACAATTTATGTTTAAGTGAGTTGGAAAAATTAAGCTTAACTTTGACCAAATAACGCACTTTACTCTACCAAGAGATCTGCAAGAGAAGAAGTATCTTTGACAAAGAAGAGAATATCTCAAGCAATACACATGAGATATTCATGAGAACAAAAGTTTTACCATTAGCAAAATCCATCCTCCAGCAATCCGAGAGAGCGGTCATATTTTTATCAAATCCACCATACAGCAGCAATCCACCAGGGGGCTTACCTAGACAAATCAATAAAAATAGTAAAATGTCACAATTGAAAATAATTAATTTTTAAATACCAGATCATAATTATTTTATGAATTCTTCATCTTACACAGCTTTAAGGGTTCAGTTTTGAATCGGACATGGGACTTGATGACTTCGCGTACCTGTAGAGCGTACAGTTTACCTATATATATATATATATAGGAGTATATTGCAAGGATCTACCAACTGTACAGTTTACCTGTATATATAGGAGTATATTGCAAGGATCTACCAACTGTACAGTTTACCTGTATATATAGGAGTATATTGCCAGTATCTACCAACTGTACAGTTTACCTGTATATATAGGAGTTTATTGCCAGTATCTACCAACTGTACAGTTTACTTGTATATATAGAAGTAAGAAATTGCAAGGATCTACCAACAGTACAGTTTACCTGTATATATATAGGAGTATATTGCCAGGATCTACCAACTGTACAGTTAACTTGTATATATATATATGAGTAAGGGATTGCCAATATCTACCAACTGTACAGTTAACCTGTATATATAAGAGTATATTGCCGGTATCTACCAACTGTACAGTTTACCTGTATATTTAGGAGTTTATTGCCAGTATACAGTTTACCTGTATATAGGAGTTTATTGCCAGTATCTACCAACTGAACAGTTTACCTGTATATATATATGAGTTTATTGCCAGTATCTACCAACTGTACAGTTTGCTTGTATATATAAGAGTATATTGCCAGTATCTACCAACTGTACAGTTTACTTGTATACATAGAAGTAAGGGATTGCAAGGATCTATCGACAGTACAGTTTACCTGTATATATAGGAGTTTATTGCCAGTATCTACCAACTGTACAGTTTGCTTGTATATATAAGAGTATATTGCCGGTATCTACCAACAGTACAGTTTACCTGTATATATAGGAGTTTATTGCCAGTATTTACCAACTGTTCAGTTTGCTTGTACATATAAGAGTATATTGCCAGTATTTACCAACTGTACAGTGTGCATGTATATATAGAAGTAAGGGATTGCAAGGATCTACCAACTGAACAGTTTACCTGTATATATATGAGTATATTGCCAGGATCTACCAACTGTACAGTTCACTTGTATATATATATATGAGTAAGGGATTGCCAATATCTACCAACTGTACAGTTTACCTGTATATATAGGAGTAAGGGATTGCCAGGATCTACCAACTGGGGGAGAGTCAGAAGGAAGAAGAAGAGAAGTCCAGGTCATACTAACTAGGTCCAGACAGTGTAGGTCGTTTAGACGATTCTCAGAATGACGGCCGCCGAATATATAAACTTTGTCACTAAACCAAATTCATATTAACAAACGGTGACAATTAATGCTAACAAATGTCGACGAATTCAAAGTAAATTTATCCTAAACAAATCAGAAGTTTAAATTGAAACCGTTTAATTAAAAAATCGTAAGGTTATAATTTGTTTTCACTACTTAACACAAAAATTCAAAGATACAACTTAGCAAAACAAAAATCACAGCGTATCTAATATAATAAGTACAACGTAAGAACTTTGTAAATATGGTTCCTAATAATAGCAGCGCTATGGGCTGCCCTGGGGGAAGGAGGCGTTCCTGAGAAATTCGGCCACACCCACCTATTTTTCTCACTAAAAATAACAGGATTTAGTCATTTAGTCATTTTTTTCTTACATAATTCTGGTATTTGCACTTGCTACAAGCTGTATAAATGCTAACAAGAACATTACCTTCGAATGACCCCAAAGAAGTTCTTTTACACCTACCCTCCCAAATAAGATTTAATTTTAATTTTTTTGATTAACAGGTAATGGAACTCTAAAACCCAAACCGTAGGTCTACTCACATTATCTATTATAATCCCCTAAGGTCCGGACCCCTTATTAATATTATTACCTATTATAATAAACAAGTTGGTTGGACCAACCCCGCCTGGAAATACCAGGAAATGGTTCATCTTCTACAAACTAAAAAAACGTAATTTATTTTTCTATATATACTTATCGAGATGAAAAATATTTCAAAATAACACTTATGTCTTTTGAAATTAACGAATTCTTCCTTAGAAAGATGTGACCACGATAAACAATTATTTTTGGCTAAAAATGAGCCTAAAAAGTGAATCTTTGGAAACAAAATTGAAAATATGAAAAATCGAAAAATAATATTATCATGAATAAATAATATTTATTCTTTGTGGACACCTTTACATAAAAATCCAATTGAATTTTTTTAAAAGCTGTTTTCGTTAAACCTGAAATTTTCTTGACACGGCACCATGAGATTGTTGTGTATGCGGGGTTCCAAATCCACCAAAAAGAAAAACCTAAAAATGATCTTTTTAAAGGGAGAGAGCTGAAAGTGCAGTATTGTAGATAAAAGCTTTAGGATTCATTTGAGACCAATGAGACATTTGTATAGTGTACTACTAATAAAAAAGAGCCTAATGTTGTTCTTAATATTTTACCCGTTGTTTCAGTCAGCAGTAGAAACGTTTTTACAATTATTTAATAAACGTGACAGAACATTTAACTAGCATGTCTAGCCGGTGAGGTGTAAAACTGTGCGGGCGTGAAAATACCCGGGTAGTGGGGCCCTTCATCATGATTTTAACACTTTCCCCACAATAATAAGTTTTTGATGCGTTGATAAACATCTGCTGAACGTAATATATATTTAAATTAGTTAATAAATGTAGCAATACTAGAAAGTATGTAAAAAACGATATTTCGTCTAGAATATCGTCTTCTTTTCAAAGAATTTAAAAACATGTATAAGTTAATTTACATTCCTTGCACATGCAACAATTATGCCTAAATTATTAACGAAACTATTTAGTTTATCAAAATATTCTTGAATATTTTTGGACATAATCTCACGCCCGGACACTTTATAACGTGACACCGATCTCTTCCTTATCGTATTAGGTTTCGGGCCCTAAAATTGAATAACACAAGATTTACGGTCATTCCAATTTTAATTAATATGCTTTGAAAAGTTCATTGCATTGAGCAAGAAACTCAAATAAATCAATATTTAATCACTAATCCCTAAAGGTGCATACGTAACAGGGACTGAAACAATTAAGAAATCTTAAGAAAGAAATGCTGAAACTTGATGTCGTCTTTTTACGATCCTGATAGGAGCATCTGGCTACCCACAAAGGATGAGAATGTCAAGACGATTTGAAACTCTAGAACATGTCAATCAAAGAAAGTAATCTGGTTTAAACTTAATGGCGTATTTTTTGGCCAAGATATAGACAAGCTTATAGTTGCAGGGAATCGTTGATTAAAGGAAAAGAACAAAATTCCGTAAAGGCGTCTCTGAAGTCTTATCCCTGAATAAATTCGGTATCGGTATGCAGTACCTTATCCTGGTAGGGCCATAAACTGGTTTTATCACAGGCTAGTGGAGGTATACCGCCAGGGGTCAACTTTTTCCAAACCAAACTTCGCAAGTTCAAACTCCAGATTCTAAACAGGTAGCCATTAGAGGAACAGTGTAGTCGTTGGAATTTATCTTTTTAAGATCTTGAAAGGCACTAAGTTGTGCTTCACAATATTATCTTTACTATCCTTAGATACTTCAGACTTCTGAGCGTCAAGTTTAATAACTCTTTGTATGTCGTTGAAATTATTTTTGCAATTTTTCCCTTTAGGAAAGAACATGGCAGCGCAAATGTATCAATTGTAAAGTAAATTCGAATTTCAAATGAATAAAAGAACGAATGAAAGATAAAGGAGTGATTGAAAGAAGTTGAATGAATGAAAAATGAACCTGTTAGATATTTCTATCCTAGGATAGCGTGGTGGTTGATCATCATCATCTGAACTCTCAGAAGAGTCTCTAAAACAAATATCTTTTATTCAACCCTCAGAAGAGTCTCTTCAACAAGTATCTTTTAATCAATTCTCAGAAGAGTTTCTACATCAAATAACTTTTAATCAACTCTCAGAAAAGTTTCACAACAAATATCTTTTAAGCAACTCTCAGAACAGTCTCTACATCAAATATCTTTTAATCAACCCTCAAAAGATTTTCCTCAACAAATATCTTTTTATCAACTCTCAGAAGAGTTTCTACAGCAAATATCTTTTAATCAATTCTCAGAAGAGTCTCTATCAAATATCTTTTAATCAACTCTCATAAGAGTTTCTACAAAAAATATCTTTTAATCAACTCTCAGAAGAGTCTCTACAACAAATATCCAACCAAAACCAACCTGTTATATGTTCTGAAAACCTGATGAAAGCCTGCAACTATAAACAATGTATCTTCTAGAATACAACCACCAGCCCCAGAACATCTACAACAAACAGAATCATTTTCAATATTACGATCATTATTATTATCATTAATTTCATCATTTAAATAATTTTAATCATAATTATTACCTTGATTAATTATGATTTTTGATTATGCATGATTAAAATGTTTCAGTAATAACTAGAAAACTGTAGAATATGGAGGACAATAAAGCAATACTAAAATGTATTCAATGTTGTTTCAAAACAATAGCTAAATATTATTAAGATTATCATTATCATATTATCATTATCATTATTTTTATCATTATTATCATTATTATCATTATTATCATTATCATTATTATCATTATTATCATTATTATCATTATTATCATTATTATCATTATTATCATTATTTTCATTATTTTCATTATTTTCATTATTTTCATTATTATCATTATTATCATTATTATCATTATTATCATTATTATCATTATTATCATTATTATCATTATTATCATTATTTTCATTATTTTCATTATTTTCATTATTTTCATTATTTTCATTATTATCATTATTATCATTATTATCATTATTATCATTATTATCATTATTATCATTATTATCATTATCATTATCATTATTATCATTATTATCATTATTATCATTATTATCATTATTATTTACCTATTTGGAGTGTCCCCTTTAGTAGTCAGCTTTCTCCAAACATTGTGATAAAATGAGAAATGCCAAACATCACCTTAGTTCGACAAATAAAATATTATAAACCGAAAAGTTAGTTTCCTAAATATCTATATTCCATATATATGTCTGTTTGTTTGTTTGTAACCGATAATCATAAAACAACGGCTTAACAGATCGGGCCCCAATTTGGAGTGAGACCTCACTTGATCCACTGCACGGGGAGGTTTGTGGATGCTCAGAATTACAAAAAGTTGTCTCAAAACTGTTAAGATTTTTGTAAAATTTTGAAATTCCACGAAAAAAATTGTAAATCCGCAAATTTTTTATTTTTGTCTAGGCGAATAGAAAATGCTCTAAGTTTTAAAAGTTAAAATAGTATTTAAAAAACCAATTGATAACAATATATATATAGGGAAAATTTTCACAAATTTTTGTCGAGAGTAAATAATTCAAATCAAAATAACTAATTAAAATCAAACCAAATTAGCATTAAATCATATCAAATTCCTTTTGAAACACAGGTTTTGAGCCTGCGATTTTATCAATCAATAAATCCATAAATGCATTACCTGGAGGCCAATACTCATGACCTTCCAGAAATGGGGGAACTTCTGCATAACCTAGAAATATACTGAGTTAACAGGACACCAACCTAGAAATATACTGAGTTAACAGGACAACAACCTAGAAATATACTGAGTTAACAGGACAACAACCTAGAAATATACTGAGTTAACAGGACAACAACCTAAAAATATACTGAGTTAACAGGATAACAACCTAGAAATATACCAGGTTAACAGGATATCAACCTAGAAATATACTGAGTTAACACGACAACAACCTAGAAATATACTGAGTTAACAGGACAACAATCTAGAAATATACTGAGTTAACAGGACAACAACCTAGAAATATAATGAGTTAACAGGGCAACAACCTAGAAATACACCAGGTTAACAGGACAACAACCTAGAAATACACCAGGTTAACAGGATATCAACCTATAAATACACCAGGTTAACAGGACAACAACCTAGAAATACACCAGGTTAACAGGACAACAACCTAGAAATACACCAGGTTAACAGGATATCAACCTATAAATACACCAGGTTAACAGGACAACAACCTAGAAATACACCAGGTTAACAGGACAACAACCTAGAAATACACCAGGTTAACAGGACAACAACCTAGAAATACACTAGGTTAACAGGACAACAACCTAGAAATACACCAGGTTAACAGGATATCAACCTAGAAATACACCAGGTTAACAGGATATCAACCTAGAAATACACCGGGTTACCAGGATATCAACCTAGAAACACATAGAGTTAACAGGATATCGGCCTAGAAATACAATGGGATGACAGGATCTTAACCTGAAATACACCGGGTTAACAGGTCGATAACCCGGAATACACCAGGTTACCGGGTTGATAATCTGAAATACAAAGGGTTAAAAGGATCTACCCCTAGAAACTATACCGGGTTAACAAGATATAAACCTAAAAATACTCCAGGTTAACAGGATATAAACATGTAAATACACCTGGTTAAGAGGCGATTACCTAGAAGTACTCCAGGTTAACAAGTTGATAACCTAGAAATACCTAAGTTTAATAGGTTGATACCCTAACAATAAACCGAGTTATAAGGTCGATAACATATAATACACTGGGTTAACGGTTAATACACAAATTGAATTTTATTATAAAAAAAGATTTGTTCATACAAATAAATACACGGGTAACGCCGGGCACTTAAGCTAGTTTTTACATAAATTGTAAATTGAATAATCCTAGTATGCTAACCTGCCCAAACCAGTGCACCACCCTCGTACGCCACTCCAATATGACCGACACGTCTAGAACATTAACACTCATCAATCAATCAATCGATCAGACTTTTAGGGAGGCCCTATGACCACATCAAAACCTCACCATGACTTCTTTTAAACAGAGATTGAAATAAGGATTTATAATTTGCAATTGAAGCTACTAAGTCCTTTTGATAGCATTCTAATGATGGTATAAACTGTGAATTGTACGTAACATTGTCAATAAAAATGTTCTCGTTCTAAATGTTTTTTTCCCTCGTGCAAAAAATAAGTTTTGATTCGATCTATTTTTATAAAAAATGTCCTCTGCTTGTTTATAAGGCCATATGTGTAAGAAAAACGATCTTTCGGGGTTAAAAGATTTAAGTCTCATTTAATTGCATTATATCTTACCAAGAGACTTACCAAAATACTTATACAAATACTTTGGGAATTTTAAAGGACCNTATGGTTCCCTCCTACCTGTCCCCAAACCAGAGATGACAGTGTATAATTTTCAGATTTTTGATGATTTGGAAAAAGAAAGCAAAATGAAAAATGAGATATCAAAATTCAAAAGGCAAGTTTATTTGTTCAGTCATTTTGATCCATTTACACAAAACATTATTATTTATTATTATTTTTAATATATCTAACTTCTGGGAATAAAATATTCTAAAAAGGGGAGAATGATTTTTTAGGAAAATATACACCCCTGATTTAAGAAACAAGGTAAGGAAAATCCAGAATATTTCACCTGTTGACATTATCTTCAGCTGTGTTCACATTTTCACTGAGAAAAAAGCTGTTATTATTATTTTCAAAGGAACTGTAAGTGTAATTTAAAGTAGCTTTCCATACAAAGACAGCAATGCCCCAATTACAGCAGAAAAAAATGCTTTGCATGATCAAGTATTTTTTAGATATTCATTTTTGTATAATGAATAATTATTATTTTTAATTGTGATTTATCTACAAAAGTGACTCCTTGATGAAAAAGTATATGGGCTAACAGAATTAAAACGACCTTATCCTCCACAAAATTGATCAGATAAATGTTTTAAGGGTACCGTTGTGAATCAGACATTTCCGACTTGGCATTGGAAAGCAACTTAAAATTAAGTTTAAATCTCTTTAAGGAAAATATTTAATTAGAAGATAGATAAATAACTTGATTTCCACGGAGTGTTGAATAGTAGTAGTAGCCACATAAGCAAAGAGAATAGAATAAATATTAGAGTGGAATTTAGACAATCTCTCGGTATGAATTTTGTCAGTCCCTTCCAGCCTGAAAGGGAGTTCAAAGTGTACAAATCATGTAAATGTTCACAAATTATATGCAGTAGAGTACATTAATACAGTATGTTCCCTAGACTATCCATTTCAATTTCGATTTTTTGACAGCTGTTAAATAAACTTTATAAAATGAATTAGGTGAATAAAAAACATCATTTGATTTATAGTTATAACAGAAAATCATAGTTTGTAAAGTGAAAGGCATAGAGTCTATGTAAAATGATTATTGGTCAATTATGAAACCAGCCTATTTCATAATTTGGTTTCTTATAATATTCATTTTAGATTTCCTAGAAAATGATCGTTCTAGGGCCCAAAATATGTGAAGTACACCTACAGTATGGAAACAGTACAACAAAATGGCCGTTTTACACTTTATTTTAGTAAATTCCACTCTTTGCACATAAGTTTAAATTCCCCAGAAAATGTCTATTTTAAATTTTGTATAAAAATAAAGTTTTTTCCTAGGATCCATCTCATCCTCGCTACTAGAGCTGGAATCAAAACTTGAATCGGACATCATAGCTAGATACAAATCTGAAAAAAAATTAAAAAATTAAGAAAATAGCAAAGTTATTCTGAATCCTCCTCCCATGGGTCCGGAACCAGGTTCTGGTTCAACTTGTCGGAGAAATCCTTCAGCATTGTCGAGACGTCCAGGCTTTCGGTTTCATCTTCGACCTTAGTCAGGATATCTTTACGTTTACTTTCTTCCATGCGCTTTATCTCCTGATAAAACAACAAATCAAATTAACAAGAAATAATTTACGCTTCTCGTTGGAAGCGCAAAGAAAATAATCTGAGGTCTACAATAGTGACTAATCTACAACAGTCTCGATATTCACTGTGACAACTTTCAATTAGGTGCTCGACCTCGACACTGAAAACTTCAGAATAACATAAAATTAAGACCAAATTAGGCTGAAAAATAAGATTTGTTTTCCTTAACATTGTTTTCAAGCTGTTCAACATCATTTAAAATATCATCATCGCCCTGCTCTTCCCGGGCTTTTTTCTTCTCACTTCCCAGATTTTCAACCTTGCCGTCTGCCGCATTTTCAAAATGACGTTTTCCAGGTTTAGTACTGGTCAGTGTAGATTTTCTGGAGGCTGGAGGATCAATTGGAGCCGTTCTTACCGGAGAGGGAGGTGCTGCAAGGGTCTTTACAGGTAATAGTTCTTCAACAGCTTCAGATTGAGGATTACAGCTCGACTCTAATTCATCTAGAATACAATCGCAAATTAAATCGCATATTCACAGAATTTTAAACAAAAGGGAAGGTTGAGGGCACCCAGAGGGCACTTTGTGTGGTGTATCAGTTATTCCCTTGCAGTCTCAGCCTAGGTATACTGGGACCGAAATTTATGAAAAGGAGAGGTCGCTGAACTATCTTCCACTACTTCCAATCCTGAATCACCGATTTAAATCCTCATAAACCAGATTTAATGAGTTTGAAATAGGTTTAGAGACAGTAAAACCAAGTGTCTGAAATAAGTTTGAATCAGGATTTGTCAACGGCGGTAGGAAGCTTAGCGATCTAGCTCAAATTCATTAAATTCGGTACCTGGAAATTTAACACAAAAGTTTCGCCAACATGACTAAATATTATAAAATTAAGAAAAAACTAAAATAAAAAAATTAAAGAATTTTAAACAATGATAAAGGTGTTATTTTTATTTCTGTAATAAGCAACATGTGTGTACTGTGGGTACTCTGTCAACATCAGATGTTGTTTAAAAACCCTACTTTTGTTTTCCAAATTTTCTTCATCTCTCTCGTCATCTTCGGCTTGATCTTCCAGAAGCTTGAGAACTACCCGCCTCATCTCCTTCTCCTCAAGGAGAGGGATAGAGAGGGAGGGACACTGAGGATGAATGAGAGTGTTTAGTAGTCCCAGTTCACGTCGTGCTGCACATACTATTCCTAAACATTTTTCATACTTTAAGACAAGAAGCAATTTAGATATTGTTTTTCAGATCAATAAATAGATCAACTGAGAAAACGGCAAATCATGTGAAAAACCATTTCAAAAAATTAACATGGAAGTAACCATCAAATTAACCAACCCTTGTACTAACCTGGATTAGAATGAAGAGCTGCTCTCTGCAGAATATGAATACAAAGTCTAAGAGGGGAACGGAACAAAGGGTTCCAGCTCCGGCACAGTGAACCCAGGTTTCTCAGTAAACTAAAATCAGCCAATCAATCAATCAATCCTAAACCATTTCAATTTCATAAATTTTACAATAGATTAAATTTAAGATAATTTAAATGATAAATTAATAATAAAAATCAAATAAAATTGGAACAAAACAAATTGAATTAAGTTAAACGACTAATGTTGGGATATTCTAATAATTTAAAAATTTACCTCGTGATTGCTGATAAATCAGTTATGTGTCCGGATTGCCCGAGATTAATGAGTAGACAGGAAATATCTCTGTAGCTCTCAGCTGATAGCAAAGCACCAATCTGGTCCAAACATACTCCTTAATATAGAATCTGGTACAAAAATACTCCTCAATACAGAATCTGGTCTTAATTCATTGAAGACAAATGAGCAAGGAGGTTTTAAGGTATTGCTTGCCTATTTAAGGCATTGCTTACATATTTAAGGTATTGCTTACCTATTTGAGGTATTGCTTACCTATTTAAGGTATTGATTTCCTATTTAAGGTATTGCTTACCTTTTTAAGGTATAGCTTACCTATTTAAGGTATTGCTTTCCTATTTAAGGTATTGCTTACCTATTTACGGTATTGCTTACTTATTTAAGGATATGTGTTCCTTTTTAAGGTATAGCTTACCTATTTAAGGTATTGCTTTCCTATTTAAGGTATTGCTTACCTATTTCAGGTATTGCTTACCTATTTGAGGTATTGCTTACCTATTTAAGGTATTGCTTACCTATTTAAGGTATTGCTTACCTATTTGAGGTATTGCTTAACTATTTGAGGTATTGCTTACCTATTTTAGGTATTGCCTACCTATTTAAGGTATTACTTACCTATTTAAGGTATTGCTAACCTATTTAAGGTACTGCTTTCCTTATTTAAGGTATTGCTTTCCTTATTTAAGGTATAGCATACCTATTTAAGGTATTGCTTATCTATTTAAGGTATTTCTTACGTATTTAAGGTATTGTTTACCTATTTAAGATATTGCTTACCCATTTAAGGTATTGCTTATCTATTTAATGTACTCCTTACCTATTTAAGGTATTGCTTACATATTTAAGGTACTACTTACCTATTTAAGGTATTACTTACCTATTTAAGGTATTACTTACCTATTTAAGGTATTACTTACCTATTTAAGGTATTACTTACCTATTTAAGGTATTGATTTCCAATATAAGGTATTACTTACCTATTTAAGGTATTGCTTACCTATTTAAAGTATTGCTTACCTATTTTCATTTGTTGAATTGGAGTAAATAAAATAATTTTTGGTAAAAAGTAAACTGAATTTTAAAAACTTGTCTTTAGATGTCCAATTTTTTATTGTAAACTGCTAAACAGAGAGTAAAGTTTTAATGAACTATAAGCTGAACACACTTACCAATAAAATGAAGAGCTGCTGAACAGAGAGAAAGGTTTAAATGAACCCTGGATACTGGAGGAACTACACCTGCACCCCCAGTCTAAACAATAATTCATATAAGGGTTATTAAAAAAAAACAAAATAGTTTTTTTCCTTTCATCTTCCATAGAAATCAGCAAGTCACGTTTTTTATAGAGAACTCAGAAATCTCAGATAGACTATTCATTTAAAAGGTATCGTTGTAAATATGATCATTTTAATCTTTATTTTTAGGGTCACATTTTTCACTTTAGAACGAACTTTTAATAATATTAGAGACAAATCCAAAATAAGTTTTGAGGTGTATGGAAAGATTTATTCATATAATTTATAAAATTATTTAGTTCCGGAAACCAAATCAAATAAACTATTCCAGCGAAAAGTAAAATAACTTACATGCTTCTTTTTGCTTCGTTTTCCCTTATGCTGATTTGATCCTAACAAAATCTTTTCCTAATAAAGATTATCAATCAATCAATCAAAGATATCAAACAAATACAGAAAAAAATATTTTAAAAACATAAAATAAATAATTTTTTATCTTCTAACATATCTCAAGATTGTTTTCTTAAACTTTCCCCAAACCATTAAAAAAAATTTAATCAATCAATAAATCAATTAATTACTAAAGATAAAAAATCCAATATTAACATCCAACAAAAAAAATTTTAAATGATAAAATCAGCTGGATACCTGATACGGAGTCGTATCCTGAGCAATATGAGGCAGGATTCTGTTCAAACAATATTCCAATCCTTATTTAAATAAATATGATAAATCAAACAATACTACATTCTTTAATTCAAGAAATATGATATTTTCCTATCTTTAATTCAGAAAATATGATAAATCAAACAATATTCCAATCCTTATTTAAACAAATATGATAAATCAAACACTATTACTATCTTTAATTCAAGAAATATGATATTTCATACAATTTTCCTATCTTTAATTCAAGCAATATGATAAATCAAACAATATTACAATCTTTAATCCAAGCAATCTGAAATTTTAAACAATATTCAAATCCTTTTTCAAATAAATATGATAAATCAAACAATATTACTATCTTTAATTCAAGAAATATGATATTTCAAATAATTTTCCTTTCTTTAATTAAAGAAATATGATAATTTTCAAATCTTTAATTCAAAAATATAATATTTCAAAAAGTATTCCAATCTTTTATCTAAGAAATATAATCATTTAAACAAATTTGGGGTTTCCTACAATTGTGAAATTTTTTTTTGCCCAATCAATAAAAAGCCATAAAAAGACTGTTTTCATTGCACGTAGTTTAAGCACTTAATTTAACCTTGAAAACGTCATACTTTCAGAGTTTCAGGTCGTTTTGTATCCCTTCATCATAATTCAAACAAATATATCTTTGAAGGAAACCCTTCCATTTTTTTGCTATACCTGTTGCAGGTCCCAATATCTCAATGTATGTTGAGAGTACAGAGTACAAAGCTTCCCGGACCTTTCATGAAATTAGTTAGTGACTAATAGAGGTCGTTTTTAAAATTTAGTCTTCGCCATAAACTTGGTTTTTGTTATTCTTTTAGTGCTATGTTAAACTAAAATTAAAAATCAAGGATTTAGGGATGTGAAAAGGCTGAATTTAACTCCAACATTTCGCTTAATTTTTTAATGTAGTTTTCTAGAACTAAAAAAAGTAGTGCACCATTAAAAAAAAGTTAGTTCGGCAGAAGATAGGTCTTTTAAAATTCTTTTCGCAAAAAAATCCAATTTAAATTTGGAAAATAAAAATATTTCAAAATGTCTTACTTTATTAGATTTGTTAGTGTCAAATGATTTGATGATAATATTATTGATTGTTGCAATCTCCGGAAGAATATCGTCTTCAACACAAACGATCAGTCCCTAGATTAAAATAATATTGTTATTGTTGCAATCTCTAGGAGAATATGGTCTTCAACACACACAATCAGGCCCTGGATTAACAAAATATTGTTATTGTTGCAATCTCTAGGAGAATATGGTCTTCAACACACACAATCAGTCCCTAGATTAAAATAATATTGTTATTGTTGCAATCTCTAGGAGAATATAGTCTTCAACACACACAATCAGTCCCTGGATTAACAAAATATTGTTATTGTTGCAATATCTAGGAGAATATTGTCTTCAACACACACAATCAGTCCCTGGATTAACAAAATATTGTTATTGTTGCAATCTCTGGGAGAAAATCATCTTCATTTGATCAAATCAATTTCATAACTTTATTCACCAAATCACTAATTCATTCATTAATTCATCCATTTAATTCACTACATTAACATTTAAATAATAACTTCTTATTTACAACTATTCATGGAGCCAAACTTCTTATTTCTTATTTACAACTATTCATGGAGCCAAACTTCTTATTTTGCAAATATTAATAGAACCAAACTTCTTATTTACAAATATTCATGGAGTCAAATCTCTTATTTTACAAATATTAATGGAGCCAAACTTCTTATTTTACAAATATTAATGGAACCAAACTTTTTGTTTTTACGATATTAATGGAGCCAAACCTTTTCTTTTTAATATTAATGGAGCCAAACTTCTTATTTTAAAAATATTAATGGAGCCAAACTTCTTATTTACAAATATTCATGGAGCCAAACTTCTTATTTTTCAAATATTAATGGAACCAAACTTCTTATTTACAAATATTAATGAAGCAAAACCTCTTATTTCCAAATATTAATGGAGCCAAACCTTTTCTTTTTAATATTAATGGAGCCAAACTTCTTATTTTAAAAATATTAATGGAGCCAAACTTCTTATTCACAAATATTCATGGAGCCAAACTTCTTATTTTGCAAATATTAATGGAACCAAACTTCTTGTTTACAAATATTAATGCAGCCAAACTTCTTATTTTTACAAATATTAATGAAGCCAAACTTCTTATTTTAAAAATATTAATGGAGCCAAACTTTGTAAGATCTGGAGATCTTTATATGACTATTGTTCAGGTTGATTCACGAAGCATGAGACTCTGCAAGTGTTCCTCCAGAAGCATTCAAGATTTTAATACTCTATCTACAAATATTTATTCTACATTTATGAGTTTTATCCTGAAAACTATATTTATTGGACTTTTTAACCTGAGAACAAGAATTTTATATTACATGCCTATATATGTATTCTCAAAGTTTACTTCTAAAAAACTTATATTTAAACAAACATCTAATGGCCCTTATGTTTCAGAACATAATGGGATAGCTTTGTATTTTATTAAAAGAATGTCCTGTTAGCTCCAGGTTGTGCACTCAAGGTTTATTAAACATCTAAATAATTGTTTTATGATTTTCAACGAACATTAAAGCTCTGTTCAAAACTGATAAATCAATCGATGTTTATAAAAGTGAATTCAGTTAATAATCCCGTGTCACCACCTGTTCTATCTGAACTCTGAACTCTAAACATAAACAGGTGATCAATTGAGAAACTCCAGTTAAGCTGACTTGGAATTTCATTTAACTTTTGGTTTATCTTCAGATAAGCCTGGTTCCTCTGATCTGAGTTGCTGCTCAGATCCTCATCATCACGAACCTGCAGTAGCTGCGATCTCTCCGCCGCTGCTACCATCTCTCAGCCGTTGCTGCGATCTCTCCGCCGTAGCTGCCATCTCTCCGCCGTAGCTGCCATCTCTCCGCCGTAGCTGCCATCTCTCCTCAGTAGCTGCCATCTCTCCGCCGTAGCTGCCATCTCTCCTTGAATGAAGTAGAACTACACTTCTTTCCAAACCTAACAGCTTGAAGATAAAGCTGAATTATAAAAGGTGATGATCAATAGATTGAAACTAGTTACTCAAAGGATTAAATAAACTAATTTAATCCTGTTTAGATATCTCCCCTATCAACCCTGAGTGCTAGATCAAGTCCTGTAACCCTTTAAGCTGATCTTACCTGTACCTTCTATTCCCCAGTCTCTGTCGAGATAACAATAGGTACATATTAGTTTCTTGTGATGAGTGTGAACTATTCTTTCGAGTTATAAACAATTGAAAACACATATTGAAAGTTAAAGGCTAATCTTTCAAATGAACTCACCGTGATATTTTTAGTTGTGTACGAGATATGTTGGCTAAGATCTAAAGAGCTGTTAACCTCCGGCCTAATCAACTTTGTAAGTGCATTTTTAAATCACATTAATATGTCATGAAATATTCACATTACACACCTGGAGCAAATTTTATTGGCTAACTATACATGTTTATTATTTTACGATTTATTTAATATTCATAATATAAATGATCTAACCGTGACTGATTTTGTGTTTTTCAGTTTCACGGCTTAGAGCTCTTGTTCCTGTATCTATAGACTAAATAAATAAGATTAAGCAAGACTCTAGTGTATAAACGAGGTGCGCTGGTGAAAGATGTATGCCCATCTTAATGTTAATAGTTTGAATACCTGTGGATCTAAGGTATTGGTATTCTTGGTTCTATCCTAGACCTTGAAAATGGCACAAACTTCTTATCTTACAAATATTAATGGAACCAAACTTTTTGTTTTACAAATATTATGGAACCAAACTTCTTATTTAACAAATATTAATGGAGCCAAACTTCTTACTAACAAACATTCATGGAGCCAAACTTCTTATTTACAAATATTAATGGAGCCCAAACTTCGTATTTACAAATATTAATGGAGCTAAACTTCTTATTTACAAATATTATGGAGCCAAACTTCTTATTTACAAATATTCATGGAGCCAAACTTCTTATTTACAAATATTCATGGAGCCAAACTTCTTATTTTGCAAATATTAATAGAACCAAACTTATTACTTACAAATATTCATGGAGTCAAATCTCTTATTTTACAAATATTAATGGAGCCAAACTTCTTATTTTACAAATATTAATGGAACCAAACTTTTTGTTTTACAAATATTAATGGAGCCAAACTTCTTATTTTACAAATATAAATGGAGCCAAACTTCTTATTTACAAATATTCATGGAGCCAAACTTCTTACTAACAAATATTCATGGAGCCAAACTTCTTATTTACAAATATTAATGGAGCCAAACTTCGCATTTACAAATATTAATGGAGCCAAACTTCTTATTTTACAAATATTAATGGAGCCAAATTTCTTATTTACAAATATTCATGAAGCCAAACTTCTTATTTACAAATATTCATGGAACCAAACATCTTATTTACAAATATTAATGGGACTAAACTTCATATTTTACAAATATTAATGAAGCCAAACTTCTTATTTACAAATATTCATGGAGCCAAACTTCTTATTTTACAAGTATTCATGGAACCAAACTTCTTATTTACAAATATTAATGGAACCAAACTTCTTATTTAACAAATATTCATGGAGCCAAACTTCTTATTTTGCAAATATTAATAGAACCAATCTTCTTATTTACAAATATTCATGGAGTCAAATCTCTTATTTTACAAATATTACTGGAGCCAAACTTCGTATTTACAAAATATTAATGGAGCCAAACTTCTTATTTACAAATATTCATGGAGCCAAACTTCTTATTTTGAAAATATTAATAGAACCAAACTTCTTATTTACAAATATACATGGAGTCAAATCTCTTATATTACAAATATTAATAGAACCAAACTTCTTATTTTACAAACACTCGGTGTTTTGGGCTCTCCGAGCCCATCTTCTATTTTAACTTTTAATTCTTTCAGTATTTTCTCAATAAAACAAAAATAATACTGTCTAATATTTTACAATTTTTTTTTCGTGGATTTTTCAATATTTTACGAAAATCAATTGTTTTTGAGTATTCATAAAACTTCCCTGGGGGTCATTTCAGGTTCACACAAATTTTGGGCACGATCGGTTCAGCCGTTTTGACGTTTATTGGATGCAAACAGACAAGACAAGCAAAGTATATATATTATGTACAGATATATATAATTAATTAATTAAGTGAACCAACCTTGAGAAGATTGAAAGTATGAAGATGAAAGGTTGGAAGAAGAAGTCGAAGAACATCTAACTCTGGAATATCAGCCTAGCAGGGATATTATTCAGATTAAAGGAACAGTATCCATTATTTAAATATCAGCCTAGCAGGGATATTATTCAGATTAAAGGAACAGTATCCATTATTTAAATATCAGCCTAGCAGGGATATTATTCAGATTAAAGGAACAGTATCCATTATTTAAATATCAGCCTAGCACAGATATTATTCAGATTAAAGAGACAGTATCCGATATTTAAATATCAGCCTAGGATCGATATTAGTCAAGTTAAAGGGACAGTATCCGATATTTAAATATCAGCCTAGCGGGGATATTATTCAGATTAAAGGGACAGTATCCGATATTTAAATATCAGCCTAGGAGGAATATTATTCAGATTAAACGAACAGTATCCGATATTTAAATATCAGCCTAGCAGGGATACTATTCAAATTAAAGGGACAGTAGCTGTTTTTTAAATCAATCCTCCATGTGAAGAGTGGTGTGTCTGGTACCCTTCAAACCTTTGTATTAGGAAAAAATGATGAGTTGTTCAGGTTTTCTAACTTTTAACTATTTACAATTTGACATATTTGCTTCAGAGGCAATAAAGGTATTAACAGAATTCAACACCTTTTTTGATAAAAACTACGATATCTTCCTCATTGTTACTCAACTAGAGGTTTAAAAGGTACCATTGAGAATCGGACAGGCCGCAATAACAATACATTACCGGATAGGAAGAGGTAAGACCAAATACATCATAAGTCATGTCTTACAAATCTTATTTTAGAACAGAAACTCATTTGAGCTTGTAAATAAAATATCTGTTTCAGATGTTTGTAAAATATTTTTTTTTTAACATTTCCGATTTTCATATAAAAGTTTTTGATAAATCTGTTGAGTTATTCATTTCATTTCGATCAAAGAACTTATCTTTTGATAGGCTTAGTTGTGTTTTTCTTTTAAAATTGGAATATTAAGTTCATTTTGGATTAACGGAACTGTAAGCGTAATTTGTGACCAACCAAACAAAGATGACAATGCCCGATTCCCAACGGTACCCTTGCTAACAATCTCTTTAGGTGAACAATTCGTTCTAAGACCTACCTTGAGATTCTGAGAATTAACAGAGAGTACTCGCATTATCAAATTCAGGATCTCTTCACATCTTATCTCTCTTCCCTAAACATTTTTAAAATTTTGGAAACGAAAAGAAACTCAAATATAAAATTCAAAAATGTATTCCCCTATCATAAAGGCATAAGTGATGGTCCGGGGTTTATATTTCTCGAAAAATCACTCCCCCCCTGAAGATACGTGTGATAGCGCGGAGCGTATTTTTTTAAGGTTATATTCGCTAGATTGTGGAAATAAAAAGCATGAAAAAAAGTTGCATTTCAATGTCCTATTTTTCATTACCCTCTCCTCAATCATCCTGGAGGGGAAGTCTGAAAAATATAAACCCCTGGTGGGTAGGGTACAATTGTATGCTGGAGTAATATGGGCTTAATTATTAGACTTTACACAACGTTTAAAATTAATATTATTGACTAACAATGGAATTTTTATCCCGACATTAAATTGTCATTATAACTCTTTACTCGTACTACCCTTTACATTTCATTGAATAGAAGATTCTTAAATATTTGACTGAAATTCTTATTTGTTGAATTTTTACCTGCGGAAAGCTGTAAGTGAGTAAGCTACACAGTATCTCAATCAAATCAGCAAACTAAAAAAAATCAAAATAAAAACAATATTTAAAAGAAAAGACGACAAGAATAGAGTGCATCTGAAAAAACGAATTAATTTTTCACAATAGAGTATTAATATAGAAGAAAAATGTTTCTTTTTAACGCATGCACACCAAAATCATCTGCGTCCTCAATAGAGTATTAATAAAGAAGAAAAATGTTTCTTTTTAACGCATGCACACCAAAATCATCTGCGTCCTCAATAGCTCACTTGCAACATGCGACGTGCGCGCATCATAAAAGGCTCGGAGAAAGTGCATCCTATTTTCCAAGTGAGAAGTTGATATATGTTACCTCATAATGGTCACGGTGCCTCTTTTATTTCTAGATTTGAAATGAATGATTAAAAATATTAAGCTACCTGCGAAAGGGCTAAAAGTTGACCGGCCATTGACCCGCTGACGACTGGTAGTGACATCCTGTCCCCAGTAACAACCGGTTTTTCGGCTTCCTTTAATGTAAATAATTGATCAAATCTGGAAAATGAAGGAAAACCCCCATGGAGAATTCTGAACCATTTACACTTTAAAAACTTTTAAAAGTCGAAAATATTCTTTTTTAAAATAAATATTAAAAAAATTTATATACCTGAACAAACTTGAACATCTCGTTTAGAAGGTTTGTTGTTGTGTTGAAAACCAGTTTCCAGGTGGTGCTGAAGGATTTAGTATGCTCCACGCCTTCCTTCCCTCCGCCTCCAACCTGGGCGTACAGACAGACCAGGCGACCCAGGTCGGTACGGCGGATACAACCGGTTCCAATCAGGTTTACCAGCGCGCTCAATATCTGACCTCTAAAAAACATTTTGTTCAAGAGACTGTGGACGTTTTTAAATGTGAAATTTGTTATAATTTAAACCTCCGTCTAATAAAAGATTATAAAGATATCCTTTATTTTCTATTAGAAGGGTTCTAATTTCTTGTAGAGATTTTTTTGCGGTTTAAAGCATCAGAAACAAAGTTTTAATTTTCAGAATTTTACACTTTTAAGGGTGGAACAGCGACGAAACTTCCCCATGTTCAGTTCTAGGGTAAAATGGTACCATTGTGAATCCGATAAACCATTGTTCATTTTGATTCAAAATAAATAGGATTATGCACAAGTTCTTAAAACATTACACAATAATTTTTTTTCTTTCTTTTATACAGCTGAAATGGAAAACTTTGGCGAATTTAATAATTCTAAAACGTTTTTATTTCATAATAAACAAAATTTCCTAAAAAGAATGACGTTTTAAAAATCTGAAAAATACAAAATTTTGCTGTGATTGCGTAGTTTCCGCGGAGTTCATATGGAAGCTAGAGAAAGAGGGAAAATCATAAAAGCAACAATGAATTGTCATTTTATTTTGATTCTTACTTGGTTCGTTAAGGGGTCCATATAATTTCATTCAATACGATCCCAAATGTTGATACAATTAACCATGTTGATATTGTAAACAGCTGGAAGTATGATGTCAAGTTATAGAAAAAAATCCATACTTCAGAATGTAAACTGCAAGGGAGTATCATAATTTATCTCTTATATCGATAACGGATATTTACATTTTTTAACACCCCAAAATGCAGTACACATTTCTGAAGTGTAGTACACGTACACATTAAGCTTGCTTAAGTTTACAATGCCACAGAAAGTGTTTTTTCATGCCCCTAAAAGTACTTTCAACCCCGATCCCATTTGGGATCAGAAATGGAATTATATGGATCGAGAGTAAGATGTAAGAGTTGAGTGTAAATTCCGGAATGAGAGACAAGCCTACATGGAACCCTTCAGATCCCTAACGATCCGGTCGGAACAAATACTGTATCGAAATGTTCAACATGGTTTTGTGATTGAAAGATGACACTGAGTACAAATGTTCAATACAAAATGAGATACTAGCGCGATGTTTGCGCAACTCAAGCAGAAGTTACCTGAATGCTCCGCAAGCACCAGGGAATTTCTCCATTATATCCGACAACAGAGGAAACCACATCTTCATGTTTCCTGACAAATAATTTAATAATCAACGAGTATTTAATCAATAATTCTTCAAGGAATAATTAGGATCCATTCTAACCCAGTTAAATGCAAATTCGGGTCCTTGATCCGTTAATAGGATTCGGACCAAACTCCGGAATATTTCTTAATTTCTTTCCGAAATTCCCAAAAATGTTCATCTTTGATGTGCCATTTTTTAAATTCCTAAAACTCATTTAATCAGCAAATTTAATCTGCCGAATATAATTGAAATTTATTTACTTACGTATACATTGCTGGTTTTGGTCTCATAATTCCTAGTTTTTGTACCTGCTCTCGTCTTTTTTTTCAGAATTCAAAGTTGATAATAATTGTAATACCACAACTCAATAATTAGTGTGTCTTTGATTGAACTACTTAGTGAAACGCTACGTAATCTAAACTAAATATTTTTTAACCTAATGTGCATATTTGTGATCAGTACTGCTAATTTTTGTATCGCATTAGAACCAAATACAGATTTATCTGTCCAAGAGAACGATTTTGGACCCCACCCCTATCAATTTCGTACATGACCACTTTATTAAGCAAAATTTCTGTTATTTATTTTTTATTATTTTAGGGTAAAGGTTAGGTTAAATTAGGTTAACACAATTTCTGGGCCCAGCGCTGCAGCTATAACCGGCTAGGGGCCCAAGCACCGCGGCTGGGACCGGCCAGGACAGGCTGGGGGGCCGGGCGCTGCAGCCACATGACCAATTATATCCATGTGTTACATATGAGATACATGTAAATTGATGGGGAGGGGTGGGGTGGGGGGGAATGGTTCAAATCGTTCTCTATGAAAATACCAGATTTGTATAATAATAATAGCTCTTGATTATTTCTGAACTTCTTTCCGAAATTCCCTTTGTTTCTCCATTTTTAAAATTCCTTTAATTATAATTTTTCAACCCTTATTGTATATTTAAAAATAATGGATAAAAAAAATAGATGAAACCTCGTAACTTGAGTTAATGCAGCTCCAAGCAGAGATGGTATAGAGGCTGAAACCTCTAAACCTGAGTTTAAAACAGCTCCAAGTAGAGATGGTATAGAGGCTGAAACCTCTTTACCCGAGTTTAAAACAGCTCCAAGTAGAGATGGTATTGAGGCTGAAACCTCTTTACCTAAGTTTAGTACACCTCCAAGTAGAGATGGTACAGAGGCTGAAACCTCTTTACCTGAGTTTAGTACAGCTCCAAGTAGAGATGGTACAGAGGCTGAAACCTCTTTGTCTGAGTTTAGTACAGCTCCAAGTAGAGATGGTATTGAGGCTGAAACCTCTTTACCTGAGTTTAGACAGCTCCAAGTAGAGATGGTATAGAGGCTAAAACCTGTTTACCTGAGTTTAGTACAGCTCCAAGTAGAGATGGTACAGAGGCTGAAACCTCTTTCTGGAAATCCCCTCCAGTATCTAAATAAAATATGTGTTAATTGTTATTAATAAAAAACCAATAGTATATATTTTCTTTCGTATTTTCAATCCACCCCCTCCCCCCTCCAAGAAAAATATCTGAACCCTGCTCACAACAGCTGCCTCGACAGGCTTGAAAAATGAACCTAAAAAATAAAAAACAAACATATTGGCTTATGGTCTTAAAGGTTTAAAGCAATCTATATAACCTTTTCGCTCATATATATACCCTAGGGTTAACATAGACTAAAGAAAATTGGAATTATTAATATTTTATCAATTTTTGACGCAGAGCCTTTAAGCAAGTGATTTATAAACCATGAAAAATAAAGTTTGAATCGCCTCATCGTTTAAGATTTCATTTTTAGTCTGAATAATCATTTAAATACTTACTAGCATGCTTTAAAATAATTCCAACACATTGTGCCGCCAACTTTCTAACCAATAAAACCAAAATAACTAATCATAATTGATTATTTTAGGAATTTAATACGCCCAACCCCCTTCCCCATTTGACATCGTGTCTTTCATCTATTATGCAAACCAGGAATTGCAATATTAAAAACTATAATACGGCAATCATCGTTACGTAAAAATCCAGACCAAGTCCTCAATTCTCCATCAATAATAACCGCCAATGGACAGTTGGGAAGTCTAATGTGGAGCAGCTATTGTTACACCGATCAAACCAATGATGAGATGTCAAGTTATTATTCATGTTCACTGATTCTAATTAGATTTTTAATCCCCTGAGTCTTAAGCGGCGTTTCTAAACTAGTTAGTTGGCTTTAGTTCCTGTTTGCTTCTAGCTCTGTAGTTTTGGTAACTATTTTAGTCAGAGCCGGATACAGTTTAGGAGAAAATCTCAGCAAATCAGTTTCTTCTTCATCACGTAGCAAACCACTTAACTAAAATACAACGACAATAATAAAGGCCGCAGCGCTCGACTGAGAAATGGCTAAACCAAGCCATTCAGTAATTAGAATTATTATTATTATAAAAATCAGTATTGGCTCTAAGCGATACAACGAAAAGTTAACAGTAAAACATTTAGGGTTTCGCAAAGAGTTAATTATTTATAAACCAAAATAGCGTAAATGTGGTTTATGATAAAAAACACGTTTTTAAAATTTATAACTTGTTAAATTCGGTTAAAAGCGAAAATAAAATTAATTTCAATTACAAAAGTTTTAAGAATAGATTGAAACTCATTTACAAATTTGTGAAAGCATGAAGTGGGGTACCCCAAAAGGTGGGGGACTGTACTCGAAAACGCTTTTGGACCCCCCAGACAAGCCTA